ACAGACACAGTGTTATACCACCAATGATACACAATTTGATAATAAACATATGTAGACTTGCATTTTTTTTAAAACCTTCCAATAAGACTTTTACAATCTGTGTTTTATAGCTGTTCTTTTGTTGTGTGCGTGTTATATAAAATGGAACTTGATCAAAACAACCAGTTTCATCCGATCATCAGAAGACTAAGTGGATATACTAACTTCAAGCAAACCGGCACAATCTAGGACAGGGGTAGGCAACCTTTTAGCAGCACTTTGCCGATATAGGATTGTGATGTCCCGTAGCGTGCCGGTCCTAGTTTTTTAAATTGAGGTGTGTATGCTGCCGTATTCTGCTTGTGTTATTTTTACTGCAGTTGCTTTGCATCGTTGTATTTGTGCTTATATAAGCTATTACATTGTATATGTTCATTAGTAGTTTGTGGTATTGTGTATTATACATATGAATGTGGGCTGTGTATGAGGGCTGCTTGTGGAATTGTGTGTGGATGGATATGTCACATTGTGTGTTTGATAGTGTGTGTGGGCTGTTTGGGGTATTGCATGTGAGAGGCTGCATGTGGGGTTGTGTGCATGTATGTGGATTGTTAGCGGGTTACGTTTGTGCAGATTGTGTGTATGTTTGTGTGTGGGCTGTTCGTATTATTTGTATAAGGGGAGGGTTATTCTTCATTTCTGTGTTATGAATGTAAATTAGTTATAGTAAAATGTCTATTTACTGTGTATACCTGTATTCAATATCTACTCAAAATGGCTGCTAGAGCACCCCCTCCCACCGACTAACTACCTCCTGTAACAGGATAGTGCCAATATCCGGAGTAAAATCCCAGGATGGTGGTGACATCACGCCTCATAGGATGTGCATTAGATAAGACACTTAACACCTAACCAATTAAAGATGTATTCTCTCTGTTATCTACATTTTTGCATATGATGTATTTTTGCCTTTATAAGGGGTTTGCCGCCCCCTGAGTAAACATTCCAAAGTTTTTCATTAACCTGATACCAGTGTCTCAGTGTAATTTACTTCAGAGCATGCACGCATTTATTTTAACAATTTGGAAAGGAGCAGATACTCAGATAAACACTTGGTTTGATCCACAATATCTGTGTATATCTAGCAGTATGGTTGGCTTCCCTGGGATCCAGTGGGGACCAGGCTAGCCTGGTACAGGTCAAAGACAGGAGCTGCAACAGCAGCTGCAGGCTGCTCTACTACGTTGTGGATTCCCGTTCACAAGTGCTTGGAGGAAGTGATCTGAGATCATTTCCTCTATGTGCTGCAATGCTTAAATTGAGGATTGTCCTTCACCATCTTTTCATATTAGCAGATATTTGAAGTTTCACTGGGACTCCTGATAGGTCAGAGCCTGTTTGGCTCTAGCAGCCTTGAGTGCCGTGCAAAAACACCTCGAGTGCCGTGCATGGCACTAGTGCCGTAGGTTGCCTACCCCTGATCTAGAATGTGATAATAAAAGCATGCCAGGCAAATGTTTACAAAGTTATACACATAATGAATTTTAAATATAAAATGCTATATTTATAAAAAATGTTTTGTTTAACTGTTTAACTATGTTAAACCAGAGTTTGCTATAACAAGTCATTGGTTTGAGAATGTTAGCACATCACTTGAAAAAAAAATGGCATGCAAAATCAAGGTTGACAAAAAAAAAAAGAAATTGTGGTTGTGAGAGACAATGGAAAGAGTAGGAGAAAGATGAAATGAGTTTAAGGATGCAATACACGTTTAGGACTGTGAAAGAACAGAGATAGAAATAGATGCTGGGTTTATAAAAAGAAGGTAGACTTTAAGATTAATTTCGGGTTGAACTGCAATTCAGCCACCTTTGATCAGATGATCAGGTGAATTACTGAACTCCAAGCTGAAATGTACCCGAAACCATGAACCAACCAAAACACGCAGTGCAGAACATGTTTGTTTTGGTTTATGAATCTGAGTTCTGTCTCTTGTGCCAAAAAAAGAGATGATTGATGGGAAAAAAAGATGATTGATGGCAAAGGAACAGTTACTAAATGTTGATATTATTCACAGACCAAGTGAAATGTGAGCATTAAAAATATGTGAACGAAATGCTCTTAATAGTGTACTACAAATATTTGCAACACATGGAGTGAATCATTTTCACGCCCTTTTTTGTTCTACGGGTTTAGTGCCCAAACCAACATTAGGTAGTAATGAATTTGGTCTGAATTTCAGCCGCCCAATGGAATACATTGGGGACAATCAAAGTATAACAGATAATAGAGAAAAGTAAAAATAGACTGGAGAGATAATACAGGATATATCAGAAGCTATTGTGGCAGAATGGATGAGAGAGAAAATAGGTACATCGACCATTTTATTCAAAACAGATATAAGGGAAAGTTTTTAACTTTTTAAAGACATAGCAAAGCTCCCAAATTTTCTTTCTGTGATAAGTTGCATATTTTTTCCTACTCAATTAATTATCATATGTACAATAATAATAAACAAAATTCATAGAAAACAAAACAACTACTTTTTGCATGATTGTGTCATTTGTCACTTATTTTCACCCATACTTAGAACTTCTCCATGGCTGGCTTAGCCGAAAAATGGCTTAGCCAAATTATCTTATCAGTTTTGTTTTTTCTAACTCATTTGTTATTTCAGTGGGTGCCTTTCTAATTTTGGCAAAGGAGATTTTAAATTACTACTCAAAAAAAATTAACTTAAAATCTTATTGCCGAAAACAGACGATCAGCATATCTCTCTTTTTCCTTTTTTTCATGTCTGCCTGTGAGGCGTTATTCAGGCTACACCCATTCTTAAGATTTGCCTCCTCATTTTCTATCATTTAGATTGTAAGCTCTTTTGCACACTATATAAATGATTGTAATTGTATTCTGACTTCCCAAATTTGCTAATATTTAGTTTCCTACCACAATCAAAAAAATAATGTTTTCTGTTACCTGCAAGTAACTCCTAGTTCGTATCCACTGGAATGCATGTTGACATTTTAAAATAAAGAATAGTAAGGATAAACTGACCATTCGTCTTATTGTGTGAATAATACATTCCAACTATACATCAGCAGCTCTGCATGCAATGTAAATATGTCCCTGTCCTAAAGTAAATGGACTGCATAACGTAAATAAGAATATATTTTTCTTTCTTATTAATTTATATTTAACATAATATTGCTACGCTGCAGAGTAAACACAAGTTCTTGCCATTAAAATACAGCGTAACGCGTGCTTGTTCTACAGAATCCCTTGGATATGAAATTACATGGTTTAATGGGAAATCAAACATTTAGAAACATAACGTGACCTTTACCAAGACTTTAATAACCCGTTTGTCGTAAACACTGGGAAAAAAGCAAAAAACCAAACACGATTGCAATAATCATATGTTCTGTATTTTATTTCCATCCCATGTGGTGGACCGTGGAAGTTATTAAGCAGTGGTGGACAGTTAGCTCGGCATGAGAACTTGAAGTTGAACTTATATTTCAATAAACAATAATTAACTAAAGAATGTTCTTGCAAACCCTTCTTGGTTTTGTGTTCACTTATGTCATGTTTAGTAAGAACATTATATATTGTAATGTGGTAAATGTAGTGAAGTCTAAAATACACAACCACGTCAACATTATATCCAAAGACTTTTCCAAGAAGTACATATTGATGCTATAATTATAGTAAAAAGACAAAAAAAATACCGAAGTACACATTTGAGTCTAGAATTTGTAAACACGGGCACTATGTGTACTCAGAAAAATGAGTCATTGTAGATCAGAACAGATCATATTCTAGAGGTCTATCTATAAAATCCAGAGTTGCGGCAAGTTGGCTCCCCCTGGGCAAAAGCTGTCAATTATAAGCATTGCAATCAACACATCATCTATTCACTGGAGCTTTCCAAGGGGCAACATGAGTAGACTCGGCATTTGACCTCAAGATATTCCCTTGAGAACCGTGACCTGTATAAATCTATGCAAATTATATTGTCAGCTACTTAGCTAAAATTTAAAAAAGGAAGGCAATGGAGAACGAGAAGTGGTCCAAAGAAAACACTCAAGTCCAAAATGTATCGAGTATATTTTACTGCCTCCTTTCATCAATTAATGCATAATGAAAAGAAAATTAGATTTAGAGTGTACATTTTGTATTTTTTGGAATCTATTGGTTACCATATTTTAATATATATGATTATTTACATGTTAGCAATAGGCACTTACAACATGTCACAGATGATATAGTACAGGTGAGTTACAGTAAGCCCATTTGTAAACAAACTTCAGAATAGGTGGTTGTGGTATTAACAGGCATCTGCAGTGCACATCTTCATACCATAGGCATTTTAAATAAAAAGAAAAACTAGTATAAAATAAACTGCAAGGGAATCGGAATTGGTCAAAATTTCCAGACTAATTAGTAACTGGTTTGTACTATTAATTAGTAACTAAAGTTTATATGATTTCATTCTACTCCCTTATTTCTATCCACAGAATTTTTATTTTGTATAGTTTCTATCATTAATATTATGTATTTAATTGTAAAGAAAAGAAAAGGTTTCACTGTACATTTACTGAATGTATACACTGAGTGAATAAAACTCAGATGCCTGATTTAAAATATAGGGGAATTTAAAACAAAGTGACAAGGGCCCTTGCTCTGCAATTTAACAATCTAGTTGTTTTGTTTGTAGTTAATGCTGTGCCAAATTGTAATAAAAACAAAACTGTGATTTTTATTTTATTCTGTAACTTTTGTACAGAAAGGATTTTCTATGACGCAGTGGAATTTAATCTTTTCATGTAACTATCTTTATAAGTGGTATAATCTGATACAGTTTCACAAATAGTTTATTGGTTGAGATCAAAAGAGAACTGTCAAGAGTCAATGTTTTCCCCAAGTCTTCAGTATCTATTTTGGATACATGTAAGCTGTCAGGGTTGGCTCTAGCGATAAAAGGCAGAATTAAATGGGACAGTTATGTCTGATTATAAATGGTTTTGCAGATGATTGAAAAGTTCTAATGTGCATGTAAAATAGCTTTTTAGAATTGTCTAAATATCCTGCGTTAATGATGAAAAAAAGCAAAACATTTCAGACTGTATAGTGAGTGATTAGCAATTCATTTTGCAAAAATGTCTCATGATTCCCCTAAAGCTTTCTTGAAAATTTGGGACACTTTTCCTGTTTAATTCTTCAAATGTAGGTTACCTTGCAACATTGGTGAAGAGTGAACATCACTGGGCACAAAGGAGTACAAAATCCGAGTCCCACTAAGTGGGGTGGTGGGGATTCAATGCAAAGAAGAGAATTGTGAATCGGAAGAATGTGTGGTAAGTAGGGATACATAATGAATGAGACACCACTGGGAAGAGAGCAGGAACTAAATCTCTCTAAACTGGCCATACATTAATTACAAAATAAATATGTACATGGTCTCATATTCTGCTACTGCTTCAGCTTGCCACCTTAGGTTCAGGCCTAGTCCACCTTTTGGTAAATAATTTGCTGGAGGATTGTCAAGATATCATGGAATCTTCCTAAACTTTTGTCATGGAAAGATTTTTCTGATTATTCTAAAAATTGTAGCACTCAAAGGGGACTTTCTAGTCTTCTCAAAAAATACATACATAAACCACATTAATCATTAGACTTGAAGATTTGTTTCAGTTCGAACTGCGAGATGAAGTGTACACATTTCATGAATCAAGTATAACGTGCAATGGACATTTGTTTTACTTCCTGATTCCTGAGTTACAAAAAAAAGAGATGATTGATGGGGAAAAAAAGATAATTGATGGCTAGGTGACTGTTACTAAATGTTGACTGTTATTATTATTGTTATTGGTATTTATATAGCGCCAACTAATTCCACAGCACTTTGCAATATTATGAAAGGGGGGAAATTTACAATACGCAAGACAATTACACAGTGACACAGGAACAATAGGTAGATGAGGACCCTGCTCAAACGAGCTTACAGTCTAGATGAGGCGGGGCACAAATACAAAACAGGGCAGCAAGGGTGACAGCCACCAAACAAGGTGAAAAAGTAGCAGAGCTGGAGGTGAGAGTGGAGTGTGGCTCTTTAGGAGAGCAAGAGACAGACTTGGGTAAGTATAGATAAGTTATTCTGGGAGTCCATAAGCATTTCTGATGTGTTTTGAGGGACTTCTTAAACAATTGAAGACTAGGGGAGAGTCTAATGGTTGTAGGCAGGCTGTTCCAAAAGAAGGGAGCCACCCACGACAAGTCCTGCAAGCGCGAGTTAGCAGTAAGGGTGCGAGCAGCGGACAGGAGGAGGTCACCGGCAGAGTGGAGAGACCGAGAAGGGGCATATCTATGAATCTGAGAAGAAATGTAAGAGGGGCTTGAGTTGGTTAGAGCTTTATAGGTAAGGGTAAGTATTTTGAATTGACAGCTATAAGATACAGGACGTCAGTGTAAGGATCGACAGAGGGGTGAGGTATGGGAGGAACGACGGGTGAGAGATATCAGCATGGCAGCAGCATTCATTGTCAATTGTAGTGAGGCAGTTTGGCATTTGGGGGACCAACTAGGAGAGAATTACAGTAATCCATGAGATAAATTACCAGAGCATGAACAAGCTCCTTGGCTGCATCTTGCGTGAGAAAGGGGCAGATGCGGGTGATATTTCTAAGCTGGAACCGACAGGTTTATGCAACATACTGGATATGTGAGGCAAAGGTGAGGCAAGGATCAAAGATAACACCAAGACAACGAGCTTGCAAGGATGGACTGATGCAAGCACCATTAACTTGCAGGGAGAGCGAAGGAGGAGGATCAGCATTATGAGGGGGAAAATAAGAAGCTCAGTTTTAGAGAGATTGAGTGTCAGAAAGCGGGAGGACATCTAATCAGAAATAGAAGGAAGGCAAGCAGTGAGATGTTGCAGGACCGTGAGGGAGAGATCAGAGGAGAAGTGATATATCTGGGTGTCATTGCCATACAGATGGTAGCGGAATCCAAATGAGTTAACGAGTTTGCCAAGAGAGGCAGTATAAAGAGAGAACAGAAGGGGACCAAGAACAGATCCTTGGAGAACTGCAACCGAGACAGGGCGAGAGGAGGAGGTTTCATTGCAAAAGGAGACACTGAACGAATGTTGGGAGAGATAAGAGGAGAACCATGAGAGGACAGTGTCACAGAGACCAAGGGATTGAAGAGTTTGGAGGAGGAGGACATGATCAACCATGTCAAAGGCAGCAGAGAGGTCGAGAAGAATTAGTATAGAGTAGTGCCCTTTGGATTTAGCTGGGATTAGGTCATTTGTAACTTTAATAAGAGCAGTCTCAGTAGAGTTGAGAGGTCGAAAGCCAGATTGAAGAGGATCGAGGAGGGAGTTGGAATTTAGGAAGTGAGTCATATGAGTAAAGCCAAGTCTTTCTAGAAGTTTTGAGGGAAAAGGAAACAGGGATGTGGGGTGATAGTTGGAAGGGGAAGACGGGTCTAGGGATGGCTTTTTTAGGGTGGGTATGACAATAGCATGCTTAAGGGGAACAGGGACAACACCAGATGAAAGGGGAACAGGGACAACACCAGATGTCTAGATTAACGTAAAGAATAAACATTAATAGTAAAGATGTTATGCCGCCAACTGTCCACCACCAAAAATGTGAATATTAATAAACAGGAGGGGGAATAAAATCACTCTCAACCCCCCCCCCCACCCACTGCTGGTGGGTGGGGGTTATTAAAATTATTGACTGGGGAGGGGGGGCATAATATCCCCTAAGCTCCACCAACTGTAGGCAGATGGAGCCTATAGGTAATTTTAAAAAGGGGTGGAAATGCAGTTGTCCACCTATCAATATTTTTTACAAGCTTTCCCCACCCTCCCCATAGGTTTATAGCTAATGGCAAACTACAAACTATTTCCTTTTAGGGCTTATCAGCATTGTGCTGCTTTGTTTTTTGTTGTAAATAGGGATTGCCTCTGTATTATCTGTGTTACAGTTTATAAACCAAAATGTGTACATTGTGGCTACACAGTCAATTGCCTGCATTTAAATTTCTTCCATCTTAACTCACTAGACTAAGGGCAAAACCCAAACAAAGGAAAATGATTTTACTTAGAGAAATGAACAAAGCTGTTTCCTTGTCAGTTAATGATCCATCACATCACATATGATTTTTGGGGAAGGCCGTGAACATTTTGTGCAGTTCAATAAGAACAGATTAGTTTGTGATGTACCAAAAGGTAAACATTACTAACATATAGGATAAGATAAAATCACAGTTGGTTTAATATTTAACTGAACATTAAATATCCCAGCAGAATCGCTGTCATACACCTAGTAGTAATGCCCTGGTTACACCCACCCTCAATTTAAATATGAACACATTGTGGAAATGAATGAAGACTACTAAATAAACATCTTTTGGCCCATATAACTTGCATGAATGCTTTAAAAATGAATATTTATACTCTATGTGTACATATCTCACTAAGTTTGCAATATTTTTCAAAACACAAACAATTCGTTTTTCTTGTAAAACTGGATTTTTTAATTTTACTTATTAAATCAAAATGTATATTTTTTTGAATGCTAAAAATGCAAAAACTGTCTAAAGACAAATGTCACTAAGTTGCTCAACTTGACGAGTCTGTTTAGACACCAATTCCTTCTTAAATTCTCAGAGCTTTTACAAACAATTCCTTTCATTAGTATATTATGCCCAGAGCTCCCCTATAGCTCTTACAAATAACATACATTACTGTCCCAGCCCAGCTTCAGTTACAATTTCAATTGTTAAGGCTAAAAGGCCTCCATGAAGGAAAACATCTTTTTCGCGTTACTGAGAAAAAAAACATTAAAACCATATTTAACTATATCGCTGATAATATTGTTTAATCAACAATATCTCTTTGGTATCAACAATATCTCTTTTGATGTGTTGATCAGCCCATCTTCATCTTACCTGCACATGAATTCAAACCTTATGGAAAATAGAAGTATAAAGTAAGATGCATCTCATATTAGTTATTGGAAAGAATTAAGAGATGTAAACACAGGAAGTTTGTAAAGAAGGCAATAAAAATGGTAAATTCAATAATGCTGTCATTGCTATAAACCTGGAGAAATGTAGAAAATGAATTATAAGAGATCATCATAACATTAACATAGATATAAACTTTTACTTGTGAACAACTAAGGAGTTAGATTGTTAGAAGGTTATTAGAGTTGATTTATTTGTTACAATATTTGGAACAACGATCTTGTTTAGACAGTCAGAGTTATTCAATGTGAATTAAAACGGGATTTAATTTTAGGCGTATATTGTTGAGCTAGAGAATTATCAATGTATAAAATAATCTCTTTTTTTATCTTAAGTGGTAGGCATAATTACATTTTAAATTCTTTTAATTCATTTTCACACATATTCACAAAAAGGTTTTCACGCTGGATGAAAGTATACCTTAATAAATGGAATCATCTGATAAGGTTTTTGGACCAAAACATAAAACGAAAAATAATACCAAAAGTTTACATCCGTTGTTCTTTTTAACTAGTTACAACAATCTTTCAATGTCCAAAGATAATAGAACAGACATATTGCAACATTAGGTACTTTTCTAAGGGAAAGTAGTAAAAGTCTTGATATATGTTGTTTATGAACTCATGTAAATATCTTTACTCTCATAGGACATAGATGTCATACATCCCACGACTCATTGATACAAAAGAGAGACTTAAAATAGAAAACACAGTAAAAATCCATGTAGGAAAATGTGTGACTATTTTTTGTAATATCCGGTAAACTATTTTGCTTTTTCTCCATAACTTATTAAAATAATGTGTTTTAAAGCATTTTCCCACCACAATTCTAATAACTCTTTGTTACAATATGACTTCACTGGTTTTATAATGTTAGGCCCCATTCTGTGATTGAATCATAAATACATATATAACTTTCTCTAGCCACAAGGATAGGAATATGGACAAATTAAAATAAAAATAAAATAAAAATAAAAACAATTAATTAATAATAAAATGTAAAGTTTAATTTACTCGTGAATAACATATCCCAATAAATAACAGGAAGATTCTTATTCATTAAGCAGTAAATGTTATTATCATTTATCCTAAAATTAATAAAGATAGAGTGCATACTTTAGAACAGTAGTAGTTGTTCATCTCTGCTGCATTCTAAAGTCATTACACTGTACATACCATAAATTCTTAACCAGATTAATTAAATTATTTTATTGCATAAAATACGAAGCCAAATTCTGTGCCGCTACCCCAGAGATAAAAAGAAAACATAAAAAATGTACCCACTTCATGTTTAAATTGCTCTGATAGATTCCACCAGTGCTGGTTTGTCTGGTGGTCCACAACTGGACAGTACAATACTGTGGTCCAATGGTTTGGACCACACTCATATAGTATCAAAACAGATATCAGCTGAAGTTTTCCGTGAAATGTTACGATATATTGTACAAGCATTAAATTAAATAATTGATCTATTAAATTATTTTATTGCATATCATTCAGCAGATCTTGGGCTTTCCAAGCCCGGAGCTGAAAACTGTGGTGGGAAGTTTCATGAGTAGTTGAATTTACATACATTTCTGTTGTCATAGTAACTATGGACTACATGTGTGTGACATACAGCTCACATACTGATGGTCAACTAGACCTCGGGACTCTCTAGCCAGTGCGATTGTGATGTCACATATCTGAGTTGAGTTTTAATTCACCTGCAATGACAAAATTAAAAATCCCCTGATTATTTCTCTCCCAAATACCTCAATCCCGACAAGTGCTTAATAATTCCCTAAATGTCTCAAATCTTACTAAACAGTTCGTCATCTCTACACTGTCTCAGTTCTAACTACTCTCTGACTCGCCTCTCCATACACAAAATTCCCAAAATATTTATCTGCCCTTATAGAATATAAAAATACTAAATGGGTTCCCTCTTGAAAAGAATGCTCATCAGTGGGGGTCTTAAAATGAATTTGTTGTGATGTTAAAATGTACAGATCTGCCAGTCCAACTAGCAGATTGGTTCCATGTCAGATGGTATTAATATTTGTAAGGAAGTAGATATATATATATTGTCATTTTGATTAAAAATAAAACATAGAATTGAGATCAGATATTTTTTCTTTTTTTTTTTTTGCTCCTTAAAGTATATTCTTTTCAACCCTTTATAAATCTAACCCATTGACATCATTGTACAAATACTCCTTACATGCCTCCTATTGTTATTCACTCCACATGCTGCTTTCCTCTTGGCTTGCTTGCAATGTCTGTGCATACCAAGTGTTCATTATTAACTGTTTCACAGAACACATTAAAAGCTAACATGCAGAGACAACCATTCTATAACACTGTTTCATTAGTAGACTATGATGCTTAGCTGATACCAATCAACTGCTGAACCCAGATAAAAGAAAATCCTCCGCCACAATGCAGTATTGGATACTGTGGATAATGATAGGCCAGCAGTAAAATGACAGAAGGTAAGGGTGAATGTATGTCATGTGATGTAGAAGTAGGTTGCTAGAAGAGTTTACAATGAAGGCTTATAGGGTTATTCACTAAAAAGATGGACAAAATTCGACAATTCGACAAAAGAGAAGGGAATAGTGACCAGTGGATTTTGCAGCAATTATGTTATTTGATACTTTGGACAGAGTTGTTTTGAGTGAAGAGTGAGAACTTCAGATGGAAACAGGTTCAGCAGAGAGTTAGATTCAAGAAATTAGTCAGTCTGGTGTACACAACATTTTCAAGGATCTTGGAGGCAAATGGTAGTAGGGAGATGGGTTGGTAGTTGGATGGGGAATTTGGGTCAAGGTTGCATGCTTGAAGGGTGCAGGAAATATACTAGGGCAGAGGGAAAAATATAGTAGAGAGAAGTTAGTTGCAAAGCTTGAGAAAGACATGTTAATAGGAGGACTCCACAAGACCTATGAATGTGTCCTGTAGTTTCTGGCACCAAGACATTAGCAGCAGATCCTTTAAATCCTTCAAGTTGTGAGGTGGGGCCTCCATGGATCAGAGTTGTTGTCACAGCACACCCCACAGATACTCAATCAGGTTGAGATCTGGGTTATTTGACAAAACATTGAACTTTTTGTCATGTTCCTCAAACTGTTCCTGAATAATGAAAAAATTAGGTTAGACTGCATTATACTGCTGAAAGAAGTCGCTGCCATCAGGGAACACAATTGCCATGAAGGCATGTACACGATCTGCAACAATCTCTAGGTGGTATGTGTCAAAGAAACATCCACATGAATGCCAGGATCCAAAGTTTTCCAGATCATTACCCAGAGCATAACACTGCCTCCGTCGGCCTGCCTTCTTCCCATAGTGAATCCTTCTGCCATTTCTTTTTCAGGTAAACATCTGATCTAAAAGAAAACATGATTCATTAAACCAGGCAACCTTCTTCCATTGCTCCATGGTCCAGTTCTGGCATCCACGTCCCCATTATAGAAGCGGTGGACAGGGATCATCATGGAACCATGTGTGTACCAACACCATGTGTTGTGACACCTTTCAGTGACAGCATTACGTTTTTCATCTATTTGAGCTACAGTATCTCTTCTGTGTGATCCGACCACACAGGCTAGCCTTCACTCCCCACGTGCATCAATGAGTCTGATGCCGGTTTACTTGTTGCCCTTCCTTACAACACTTTTTGTGGGTACTAACTACTGCATACCAAGAACACCTCACAAGACTTACTGTTTTGGAGATGCTTTGACCCAGTCATCTAGCCATCACTATTTGGCCCTTGTCAAAGTCACTTTTCGCTTGCCCATTTTTCCTCCTTCCAACACAAGAAATTCAAGAACTGACTGTTCACTTGCTGCCTAATATATCCCACCGCATGACAGGTGCTATTGTAATGATATAATCAATTATATAATCAATGTTATTCACGTCACCTGTCAGTGGTTTTAATGTTGTGACTGATAAGTGTATATATATATATATATATAAAAAATAAAAAATACAGAATCCAGCGCACTCGCTTATTCACTAAACAATGCTTTCAAAATCTTAGAGATTGTAATAGTTTTATTTAAAAACACCTCACCTAGGCAAAAAATAATGGGGGTTTAGTTACATTATATGATCATATATTGCATAAGCCTGCCACAACGTCAATGTACCCCATTCTTGGCAGGTCCTACTCTAGCAGCCTAATGCTCGCCAAGCTATATACACATTGGGTTGCATACTTCTAGCAAGTTCTTGAAAGCTACTCACCGTAGGGAGCCATAGCATATTCACCAGGAATAAATTTCTACTTTTTTTTTAACCAATAGCTAGTGAAGAGTGGAAATTTTGAGGTGTGTGTGAAAATATTTTGAAACCTTGACACATCCCTACCTACAAATTGCTCAAGTCCTTGTCCATTTCTACTTCCCTAGCCAAATTATCCATATCAGTACCCGCCCCTCACTATCTGAGTTGAATCCCAATGCTCTAAATCCCCCTCCTTGCTCAGCCACACTTTCCATATACATAGATCCCATATGTACATATATACATATTCCTATACCCTTGACTATGCAAATAAATGTGTATAACTCTATACCTGCTTGTCTAGATTAATCGTTGATACCCATATCATCCTTCCTTCTAAATTAGATAGTACAGATTGACAACATGTCAAAACATTGCTAGCTATTCTGGAACATCAATACATTTATAGTAGTTATATACAATTGAAGAGTTCTTGACCTATTAATTTATATCTACTATTGCTTCTAGATCAGGGTCATTGAGCACCCCCGGGAGAATGAGTAGTCCAAAAGTGTGTCCTGGCCACTTTATCTTTATTTCGATTGTAATCAACTACTTTGATAATGCATAGCCAGTTTGCAAGTGTGCCAAATCTGACTCACAATTCAACATTGAGGCTTTTTGGGAAAATAACCAATAACATTGGTTAGATCTCTTGCGAAAATGAGTGCAATATTTCTTTCATTCTTCATAGTATGTTAATCAATGCCAGTTTTCTTTTTTTTAATAGCGGCAAGAAAACAAAGAAAATATTTAGCTATGCGCCCCGGTCTCCAAGCAGATATCTAATGTTTAGAAAACATGGTTCTAAAACTAGAATTCTTCAGCGTGAAGATCAAACACAATGTGAATGAGAAGCAGATCTGAACTTTAGAGTGAGCAAAGTTATATTCATAATAATATTCACACATTTACATCTTTTCAGGTCGATCTGGAATTAGTTTATACTAAATTGGGTAAAATAAAACAGCTTTCCTTCTGGCTTGAGATAACTGGAGCATCACAACAGACATTCGTTCTCCGTTTTTTTTCTCTCTTTTTTATCTTCATACCTCTAACACCATTTCCCAGCAGAGTGGAAAAACTGTTCACAATTATATCCTTCCCACTCTTTTGCAAAATCATGAGAATGGTTGTAGAATAAACAGTTTAATGTGTCCCTGGTGCAGACATTTACATGTATCATAGATAAGGAAAGGGAACGTTGTTTTTCTTGGAGGAGAAATTTGGATTGTATTAGAAGTATTTCCCAGCTATAGAATTTGTTCACATAGGACTAAATTTGTGTACAATGACTGGACTGTACATAGCATTAAAAGGCTAGCATCGTTCTCTCTTAGGCATTCTCTCAATTTTACTGAAACACTTTAAGAATGCTGTAAATCCCAAGACTGCTGACACTATAGGTCATAGAAGATCTCTGTGTTGTGGTTGTGGTGGCAAATTATGGAAATGCTTAGTCAACCTTTCCTGTTTGTGTTATTTTAAGGAGAATAATGAAGTATGGGATCCTCTGAGAGACTTGACTGCAAAATGTGATTGTGTTTTCTGTATAAAACCATAATAGCTGGGAGAACCCGGATTCTAGATGAAACAATCTTTATATGCTGTCACAATGTTTATTCTTGACAAATTGATTAATGATTTGTGAAAACTTGCTGTTTAATGGTACTAAATAAAGACTTTTTTTGCAAAACAATAAAGAAGTGTTGAACCATATTGTTGCCAAATAAAATGGGACTGTGATCTCAGCACCCTCCACCATACAAGGAGGACATTTTTGCTGGATGCTCAGTGTTGTTTCTTGTAATTAAAGAGACACTATAGGGTCAGGAATGCAAGCGTGTATTCCTGACCCTATAGTGTTAAAAATACTATTTAGGTGCCCAGCCCCCTCGTCCCTTTAAATAAGTAGTTTCCTTACTTTATTTCAGCACCACACAGTGGCCCTGGCCCTGGCCCCCGATCTAAGACTATCAGAATTGACAATCTCAACCAATCCAATTCTAATAGGAAATCATTGGATTGGCTGAGATCGTCGATTCTGATGATCTCAGCCATGGGGCCGGATTAGAGAAGCCAAACACCCCACTGCCCAATCAGCATCTACTCATTGAGATGCATTGACTCAATGCATCTCTATCAGGAAAGTCTGCATGGAGATGCAGAATGTGCAGCACTGACCCAGGACGCACCTCTAGTAGCAGTCTGAGTGACTGCCACTGGAGGTGTTACTAGGCAGCAATGTAAACACTGCCTTTTCTCTGCCTGCAGGGACTAACTATACTCTCCAGAACAAATACATTAAGGTGTAGTTGTTAAGGTGACTATAGTGTCTCTTTGTATATTCTAATTCAATAGTGGCTAAACTTTCTATAGATGTTAATGAGCAATGTTTCCCATAATGCGCGACCATGCTTTAGACTGAATGTAATTCAGAAGTGGTAGAACGCATATTATGGTGTTATTATTATTATTACTATGACTTACAATGTGCCAATATTTTCCCCACCACTAAAAGTAGGACATTCAAAATAATTCAACTCACAGATTAGGCCTCTACTCAAATGACATTATATCTTCATTCATTATGATTATTATAAATTGCTAACCTTGGCAAGGCAGATGCTTGTCAACTGTTCCCTACAATGCTGGCTAGACTTGGAAAATAAATTCAGTCTGAACTGCATTCTGTCTGAATTTGCGCCGATCGTGCCAAAAAGCACAATGGTCGACCGTGCATAGTTTGATTTGTGATTCTGAATTCTGCCCATACCACCAAAAAACAAATTGATGATTGATGGCTAGGGAACAGTCATTAAATATTTGTTTTATGCACAGATCAAGTGAGAAGTGAGCAATAGAGGGAAAAGAAGGAAGATAATTTTTTATTTTTATACTTTATATATTTAATAATTATACAATGTATATAAATATAGATTATTTGTACTGCTCCTCCTGTTTTTCATTCTTTTGTTCACTATTTATTACTTGATCTGTAAACCAAATGGTGGAAAAATCAGTGTACTGCAAATTGTATACTCAATATTTGGCTCAACATTTGGCTCAACTCATTTGTTTCCTAAATTAGTTTCTTGATACTGAAATACTGCTGAGCTGAATTTTTTCTTATTTTTCAGAAAAAATTGGTATAGCCAGACCAAATGTTTTGTGTTCGCAAGCCTAATGATTAGCAAGCCCTAATACTAACTGCAATTTAGTTTAGTACTAAAGTTGTAGTCATCTTACAGAATTATTCACTTAGCACCAGATTTTGTCCAGATGAATTCCGACCTCAATGGCAATTCTCAAATTTACTAAAATCAAATACGATCAGAATTCGATTGGTGTAAGTGAATCTGCAGCAATCGCCCAGATGTATTCCAGATTAAGTCTGCCCAGATTAAAATCTGTGCTTTTCACATATGAACTGTTTATAAAGGTATAGGATTTGGAAGATTCACAAAGTACCAATAAAAGGGACACAATAGGCACCAAAACAACTTTAGCTTAATGAAGCAGTTTTGGTGTGGAGATCATGCCACTGCAGTCTCATTGCTTAATTCTCACTGCTCAATAAATCCAGGAGACACTAGCCCGCCATCACTGGTTTAAACCTGTGCCACCAAGGGTTTTTAACTATTTTCCTGCTGAGTGCAGGAAAAATAGCATCCAGGTCTGGATTTTAATAGTCTCGCCTAAGTTAGGCTCATTTAAAGCCTGGTATACAAATAAGCACAAACAATGTCCAGATTTTGTAGTCCGAATGGCCGTGTATACAGTCGATGGTTTTGCCCCATTTCATGGGGCTATTAGGACGTTAATGAAAAACCCTAACAGTTTAAAACTGTTGTAACCCTAGACCATTTGGTCTTCATGTAAGTGACGAAAAAATTGACTCTTCAGTAATCTCTATTTATCTGGCCATGAAACAAAATGCATAATGGTCCCCTAACAGAGTCAGGAAAGCTTGGGGGTTGACATTTTGCCTTAATTGACCTCAGTGGGACCTTGAGTTCAACCCAAAAAGAACTTGAATACTTGTTAGCTAGCCTAACTTATCCAAACTTACAAGTTTGACTTTGAAGATGTTCTGCAAATTAAAAAGTTTGAAGTGTCCTGTGTTCAGTAAGTATTGAATGGCAAACTTTCCGAAAATTAACTTACCCAAGGTTTGTGAATTTTCACTGAGCAAAATGGATGTCACTGAATGATTTCAGACATTTTGCAGATACTAGTTATACGCCATTCATGTCCGCCCTGGGGAAATATATATACAGGAGGTACAATAAAATATTGCAATTTAAACACAAATGAAGTGAACACATAGATGCGTTGCATAAGTTATAACTACTTGTTATAAATTGAATAGATCAGGTCTTCAATAACAGATTTTGCAGTCTCGAACTGAAATGACAAGAGTTGAGAAGGACTTGTTTTACGAATGGATCACTTAGTCCTTTAAAAATGAAGCAATGAAAGAAAGGGTCCTTTTTTTTTTTTTTTTATGCAAATAGAAAATAAAACTTTTAGTTGGTTGGCTTATCTCAACGACCAGATTTGCAGACTGTAATCCAAAGGACAAATATTGTTGGTTAAACCAATTTAAATCCTTGTAAACCAAGGCCAAAATCGTAGGGAAAAACAACTTAGCCAACGCATCAAGTTCTTTTCAAAGTATTTTATTGAGGTATTTTTTTGCAAATACAATAAATATAGAACATGCAATATAAGTGTTTAACTAATATTAACTGAATAAAAAGAGAAAAAAAAATACATAAATATAATAAAATAATAATGGAATCATACAATATCACGCTTTGATCAGTATAGTCAAGTCTACCAGGTACTAATGTTTAACTAACGTTTTCAAGTTTACTATTATTGAGATTTTTTTTTATTAAAGGAGAATTAGAGTCACAGCCAAGGAATGTCTACGTGGCAGAGATGTTCCTACAATGGAGCCTGAGTCACAAGTTACTGGCAAGTCAAATATAATCCAGTAGACAGAGCCCAGAAACTTCAGGAGAAGTTAGTGAGCATGAGCAGAATGATGAAGAATGTTTGTTCAAGTAACATGAAGCTGTATGATTAATAACAAGGAGTTGGGTAATCTTTTATGCAAAGTCATTAACTGAAAATACAATCAACAGGATGAAATAAATGTAATTAAATTTGAAAAAAGTTACTAGAACTGATCCTTACTTATAGAATGCCCTCCTATGCCACATTCGACGATGCTTGACTGTACCATATGTGTACTTGTACCTCATCCTTTAAGATTGTAAACTCTTTTGGACAGGGTTCTCTTTTATCTACTCCTCCAGGGTTAAGTTAGAATTATTTGTTTGTCTTGTTTTACCTATGGTTCCATGCCACCAAATTTTGGAACTATATAAATAATTGTAATTGTAGTTGAGCATCAGCATAAGTAAAATGCAGAAGAGGTGTAGTACATTGTTAAATATGATTTCAAGGCAAATGGGATCAAGGAAAAACATTGCCCATTGAAGGAACACTTCAAGCATCATAACTGCTACATCTCACTGTAGTGGTTATGGCACCAGGACTTTGCTGGTCCCTCCTCCCATAGTGAGGGGTTGAACCATTTTTAAATGGTTTGACTTTTTACATGGGGTTCTTCAGGTAACACTCTCCTACTCCTCTATTTATCATGCAAAGGTGAAAGCTCTTATGCAGGAACTTCTGTTATCACCGATGGGCTTAGCTCAATAGTGAGCTTCCAACTCTCATTAGGTAATAGTGCAGGCAGAGACCAGTGCTCCAATGGATCCCAGGTAAAAAGACAAACCATTCTAAAATGGCTTGACTCAATACTCTGAAGGGGTACCAGGGCACCTTCAACACCATAAACACTACAGCACCCTCTAGTGGTTATAGGGCTTGTAGAGTTCATTTAAAGCAGTTCACACTTAACATGGAATTACTAAGAATACAAAAGGCAAGCAGCCATGTATTAACAGAGGTATTTACTAAACTGGTAATTGTCGGGAATTGAACAGTGAACTTCAGAGTTAAAGCCAACATAGCTGGAATAACAACTATGTTAGATGATATTCACCATTTTGCTTTGGCATAAAGTTTAAATTCTCTGTTCAGTGTTTGATACTTAGCAGTTCAGTGACTTATCTTGCATGTTTAGGATTTTTAAGAGCATTAGGAGAGCAGATAGTATTAACATTTATCCATTTTGGAGTGAAAAGGAAAGTCCCACTATTCACAAATGAGACTTATGACAATAAACATCTGGGCAAAGAGCCTAATGGATTTAGAACAGCTTATATTGATTTGCTGACTTGGGCTGATAGTTTCCTATAGAACCTGCTGGACACCAGAATTCTTGGGGCTGTAAAGAGAAAGCTCAGTCCGTATTCTAGCAAAGCATCAAAGTCTGTCAGTGTTCTAGTGTAATACTACATGAAAAGCAAGGGCAGAAACACAAGTAATCACATAAAACCAATTAAAGGCAATGCATACATGGCAACCCAATGATAGCAACAAAAATTACCTTAACTGGTCTTTATCAGAGGAAGTGGCACTGTAGTGGATATGGCTTGATTAAAATTACAGGTCCGTTTATGCTCAAATGGTCGAAGACTTGCATTGGCCCTGCATTGGCCGTGCATTGCATCACGGTGCAAGTCACATCATCACAGTTAAACATCACGACCAATAATCATCACATAAAACCATGCTGACATAATTGAAAGTCAAGGCCCTTGGGAAGCAGAGGCAAGCTTTTGGTACTCTGAAAATACAATCCCTGGTTAAACCCTAGTTGCAACATGATGACCCTAGGGAGTAGTAGACCTTATTATTCCCTTACATTTTGAGGCAAAATCATTTTTAGCCTTTTAAATAGTTTCCTGACAGTGCTACGTCAACATTATGTGATACTTAATCTCTTGCGTGTAATCAACATAAGTTCTTATCCTATGTCTTCCATTCTAAACATTTCATTATTTTATATATAGGTTTGTGTAAACAATCTAAGCCTAGTGACGTGCTAGATAAACAAAGATTAACTAAAACCAAGACAATATTGCAATGTAATAAGGGTCAAATTGTGTACTTAACATATTAAACTTATAACAGTTATCAGTTTAAGCCTTCTGCTAATTCTACAAGAAAAGCATAAATGTTGCGCAAGTAAAGGAAATTAATAATATTTTTAGAAAAGGCAATGGTTTAGTGATCCAACTGAGGGACTGAAAGGAAAATCATTTTATTACGTTGAGGGAATTGACGTGAAATGTGATGAAATAAAATATCAATGCTATCAAGAGTAAAATTTACAATGAGCATACTTAACAAATCAAAGTAATATAATTAAAGTGACTCTCTTGCTTTGCAGGTTTTGTTTTAAGTTAGTCCTTTTTTTCCCACTATTTCTCCTTTTTAAATTCAATGACTAGTTTTTGTCATAGAGAATGTGATCTTTGGCAAATTTTGGCAATGGGTGGCGCTAAACACCTTAAGGACCAAACTTCTGGAATAAAAGGGAATCATGACATGTCACACATGCCATGTGTCCTTAAGGGGTTAAACATAGTTCCATTTCAGGTGATAAGTTAATTTACCCTGAATCCATCAGTCAAAATAATCTCACAGAAGAGAAAACTGTAGACATCATGGACAGAGAAGAACAAAATGGAGGCGCCCAAGTATTGAGATCTGGTACAAGGAAAAAAAAGATGATAAATATAAAGGAAAATGGTAAAAAGGAAGTATAGTAATTAAGATTCCAGGAGCATTTGGAAAGGAAAAGTAAATAAAAATAATAAATCATGACAGAGTCACTTTAAATAGACATTAAGTTGGGAAATCGAGAAATATATTATCCATGCATTCCTCTTCTGACAAACTTATCTTAAGGCACCCATGTAGAAGGTATTTTACCTGCTCTTCTAACAATAAAACCATGAATGAATTGCAGTAATTATCAAACAATATTGTGAGCAGATGTGGTTCTCAAAATGGGCCACTCTATTCCCACTATGTTAGTTTTAGACATCATTATTTTAGGCCAGAATGAGGTCAAACAAATCTGAGGATCAACGATGGGTTACCCTCAAAATGCACAAAAATAAAGAAAAAAAAAACCTTATGTTTTATTAATTACAACATCTACTAAGTGTTGGCTGGCATATGACTTCACCAATCAACAAAATTCAACTTTGTGTTATTGGATACTGAGTACATGAAATGAGTAAATTGCTTCCTCATGTTAAATTATAAACATTCAAGGAAAAGTATGGAAAACTCTCCAAGAGGCCGCAGAGTGTGATTTGAATGCAGATATCTTTATTGTGTATAATGTGCAAGTCACATCATCACAGTTAAACATCACGGCCAATAATCATCACATAAAACCATGCTGACATAATTGTTTTCACTGGGTCACTTCCCTATGTGTGATCATGTGAATGGTGTCAATGACATTGAAATCTAAACTTTTTTTAGTCTATCAATTGCTCAAATGTTCCCAGAATTTGCTTATTCAATTACTTAAAGCAGCGCTGTCACCTCTCCCACCCACAAAAAATGAATATTTCATAAAGATAGAATCTTTATGTAATACTCATATTGACTGTGTGGAATTTCACTGGAATTCCAACCAAATCAAGAGAAATACAGAGACAAAGTAAGGACTACTTTGTCTCTGTATATTTATTACTCCTGACACTTCTAGACATTGGGCAGATCCACCACCGTTGTATCAATAATGACAGCTGCAGGGATTTGGCGTTATCTGTACAGAATCCTACGGTGCTGCGGCATCCTCCATCCTCAATGTTGTACTTTTGCGCATGCTGAAGAGGACCCGCAGGGACAAGATGGGAAGCCCGCCATGTGCAGATTCAGGTAAGGAGAACTCACATTTGCCTCCCCCCCCCAGTCTGTATTTAAAAAAACAATTAGAAAGATGATCTTGGTTTTGCGTATACCGGAACACACAACAAGTTTATAACAAGCTGCTTAGTTGACGTATATGGGATTAACAGTGATGACATTTTGTGTAACTACGGCGCATATTTCTGGTCACATGTTTTAATTATTTTAATTATTTTTATTGCTAATTTCAGAATGTCAGACCGCAGCTCTCTTGGAACAATTTACAAATACCAGACATGCCGGTGGAGTAAATGAAGAATTCCTTGGCAACTGTTTAGTTAAGGATGTCACTTGCAGGAAATATATTCAAATCACTTGCAGGAAATATATTCAATGTTTTTATTTGTTAGTATCCAGGCTTCTTGCATTGGGTGAGCTGCCTGACCTTTAGTGAGTTTTATAAACTGTTTAGGTTACATTTGAGCTAAAATATCTCTGGTAGTGTATACTGTTTTTGCCATGTAATGTCCAAGTACTTTTTACAACAGCAGCTTTTCCAAAGGACTAAATATAACCAACGAAAAAATTTAAATATGACAATGACAATTGTTTATATAGTGCCAACATAATTGGCAGCATTGTACAATAGGTAAACAATACAAATAATTAATTCTAACAAATATTTAATACTTGTGGGAAAAGTAGGTGAAGAAGGTCTGCATGTATGACATATGGGAATAGTAGGTGAAGAAGGTCTGCATGTATGACATATGGGAATAGTAGGTGAAGAAGGTCTGCATGTATGACATATGGGAATAGTAGGTGAAGAAGGTCTGCATGTATGACATATGGGAATAGTAGGTGAAGAAGGTCTGCATGTATGACATATGGGAATAGTAGGTGAAGAAGGTCTGCCCAAACGAGCTTATGAAAATGCTGTAATTTAATTTTATAAAGCCTAACCTTGATGCTTTAAGCAAGGTTTCTCACTATAAAGGTAAATATAATAGTACACATTTGCATGATATGAGTATATTTATTTCTGTAAAAGGCAGGGGAGGCTTTTTATGCAGTGATATGGAATAGCTGTCTACAAGCTAGCACTTCCATAGTCGCTAGTTCCGGTTTACAGAGATATCCTTCTTTAATTTAACATGGCTGCAACAGCATTGGGGGTGATATCTGATCCCAGAAGATATCATCAACTAGGAGACAAAGACAAGGCCTCAAGGCAAAAACAAACAGATGCTCTAATGGCAGAATTTAAAATGGTGCCCCAGCTCAATACTTCTCTCATGCATGCATGTCTAGTTCATAAATTAGGTTACGTCAGAGAGTCTGGATACCATAGCAGTTACTTAATATATGTGCATGCAATAAAGTCAATCAGTAGAATCGAAGAAGAAGCCCAAGTTAGATAAGATGAAACCACAGAGGAACTGCGCCATTGGTAAAACTTTTTTTTTTTTAAATGGGTTTTAAAAAGGTAACATTAGAAATAAATAAATCTATGACACCAGATAAACAGCACTATGGATTTTTCTGCCAGAATATCGGCCCAGCAACTTGCTATCGAACGTGGAATGGGGGTCTTTGTCAAGCACAAGAAAGAGACAAAATAAGAAGACTCATGCCCATCTTGCATTGCATCTGTGCTTCAAGTATGTAAAGTTATAGAGCAGTAAGTGGCATTAACCCACTTACATGAGACTCATTCCAGGGTTCTATTTAAACCCTGCAGAGAGCCCCAGGAAGAAGGATTTCCCAAATATGTGGGTTAATCTCATAAGAGCAGGCATTCGTTTCCTAGGAGAGGATTTGGAAAAAATGGGGTACATTGGTGTTTTGGCAGGCTTTGGCAATGTATGATCACCATTGTACAGCGCTACGGAATTTGTTGGCGCTATATAAATAATAAAATATTAATAATAATAATAATAATAATAATAATCACATACCGTAACTAAACCTCGATTAAGTTTATGTCGATTAGGTGTTTTAAAAAAAAAAAAACATAACAACTATTACATTCTGTGAGCTTTGAAGTTGCTGTTTAGTGAATGAGTGCGCTGGATCTTGTACGTTAAATAGATACACATATATATATATTAATAATTTGACTCACTGAGCAAAGTATATAAAAAATATAAAATAATGTTTTGGTGCATGGTATTTTCTAATTTTTTCTTTTTTTTTTATTATATATTTTATCAAAGGGTTGTTTTAATTTTGGTGGAATTAATGTTTTGTTATTTTGTGTCCAGAAGTGGCAAGTGCTCCCATCATTAATTGGTGAAAATATATTTTTTTCTTAAAAGCCTTAAGGGCTCTGGCAAGCTGGCCAATTAGAGTAGCCATTTGAGCAAAGGCTATAGCTTTTGGTAAAACTTCTAAAATCTTTTTGCTATACTAAATGACACAAGAAGGTTTACCTTTAAATCTGAGGCTGACCAGATGTGAGATTTAAGGAAATAATTGTTACTAAAGATGTCAAGATAGTAAAAAGTCCTTATTTATTTAGACTTGTGGTTGTTTTTAGTAAAAATTCCATAAGATTTAGCACTTTTGTCGTCTGCTATAGAGAAGCTTATATTTGCCCATTCCTCTGGAAACAACAGGACTTTGTAGGGCCGGCTGTAGTCAATAAATTGCTATGACAGCAGACTTAACTAAACTTGGAAAAACAAGCTAAATCCAGTTACTTTAGCCTGAAATGAGACAAGGTAAGATGAGGTAAAACAAAAGCAAACACAGCGATTTTGGCCTTCATATGAGATTTCACAAAATGAAGTGAGATTTCACACAATGTTTTATATTATGGTGGCACATAGGTAACGAAATTGACTTACTCTACCTCACAGAACTTCCAGTGATATTAAAATATTACTATGCAGTAGGATGAAAATATATTATTCAGCCACAGCACATGCTTCAAATTAAATGTCTTTTGGAGAAAATAATAATAAATTATAAAAAAAATAAAAATAGGCATACTAATTGTTTTTGGCGGAGTTGTGTTTTTTTTCGTGGGAGGACTATTTTTTTCAACAGACCTATCCTTTTTTTAAACAAACATGTATAACATTTCTTTCTTTATTTTTCTAAGAAAGCCTAACTTTTTTATTTTAGAGCAAAAAGGCCTAAAACCATATATTTGTCATTCTTATAAGATAGACTTTTAAAGGGACACTCTAAGCAAAACAACAACATATGCTCATTGATAAAGTTACGATACAGAGAGACGCCAGCACCCTGTCCCTCTCCTTACACCTCTCCTTATAGTGGCTTATCACTGCTTGGGTTTGTAAACGTGGATGGGAGGGAAGGGTTAAACCACTATATCTGCTGTTTGGAGAGACAGTTGTGACATTATATTTAGATTAATTTGTGTTCATACACCAGTGCGAGAGATATAACATCAGCTGTATAAAACAAACTTTCTTATTCTCATAAGGCCACTTGACTTAAAAAAACACATTCAAGATACGTTAATATAAACATATAAGTAATGGATAATATGAGAGATCTGGTTTTAACCTAGATTAGGTGAATGGGTATTTCAAAGTGTTTTTCCTTTGCTAAATATAGTTAAAAATACAAAGTGATGGACAATTTATTACACTTAGCCTATACCCTCTATTTCAGCTCTAATGTCAGACTCCAGCGAGCCTATTTTTGGATATATATTAATTTAGAAGTAGATCACATGATAATGATTACAGTAGCATTACTTATATTAGTTGAACTTTTATGTGTCCGTTTGCAGCAGAATGTTCATGTTCTGTTTCTATATATATATATCTATATAAAATTGCCTATAAATAGAAGATGCTGTGTTATACATGACAAGTGGTTTGGTTTTCCTGTTTTAGAATTTCGCAGTGCAGGCTCAAATTAAATATCACTGGTAAACAGGTCAACCCATGTAGGCGAAAATTCACAAAACATTCATATTTTAAAGCACACAGTATTTTCACAAGAAATGTGACCACGTGCTAGAACAACAGTAAAAATAGAAATGACAAATGTTAGTCTGAATTGTTATACAAAGATATGAAATTATTACAAAATGGTCACATGTTCCATCTGACAAGTGGCAAATAAGGTTTTTTTTGTTGTTTTTTTTTAGAATAGTCAGTTTGCAAAATATAGTTTGTGATAAATTGAAAATTAAATAAAACGCCGCTCAGCTGACTGTGGGATTTTTCTTTTTTTAACTTATGTCAAAATGTTGTCATGTCAAACTGACTTATTGACTGGTGAAGAAGCCTTATAAAGAAATATGAAAATATAAATATTGTTAATTATGATAAAACTCAGAACATTATGTATGCTAATCTACTCCATCTTGGTGTTAAATACATTCTGCACTTTTACACAAAGAATAATTATTACAAAACAAGATTAAAGAGACACTAGAGGCTTGCAATCTCTGTAAGGTTACATAAAAATATAGTGGATCCATGTGATATATTTAGCAACTTATTGTGAGCTGTACTTACCATTTTTATCAAAATCTTTTCACGTAGTTAGGACAATACAAATGAGTTCCCAATACTCCTTGTTATGAGTCATCCAGATAAGGCTCTAGCATGGGCTTTCAGGTAACCACATACCTCCCACATGTCCCTATTTAGGAGGGACATTCCCTATTTTTGACCAAATCCCTCTGTCCCTATTTTCTATCCTAATGTCCTCTTTTCAAGGAGCTCCATATTGCTGTTGTTCCTGAATGTATAACAGAGCTCCACAGCAACAATGCTCACACTATATATATATATATATATATATATAATATAAGCTATAATAAATGTGTTTTGTCAGAGACTGCATCTTTAGCCTCCTAGCGCCATAAACTGTAACCCTAAAACAAGCTTAATTTTACAACTCTGGTTAAATAAACAAATTCTAATGTCATGGTCTCATTGCAATTTTATTTTATGTCTATACAACATAGACAGCACCCGGATAAAATAATCTAGAATCAAAGCTCAAAATAATTCAAATACATATGCAGGTTTGTTTGGCGTTGTCTGTTAAAAAATTACAAATTCATACTTCCTCTCCATCATGTGGCATTAAACTTCTATAGGCCAGAGATATGCCAGATTTAAAATTGTGCCCTCTTTTTCTTTGCATATTGCTGTAAAGTTGACTTAAAGACAAATATGATATTTTTTCTTTACCACCCAAAAATGTATACAAGTAATTATTTAGTATGGATATATACCATAAAAAAATTATAAAATGCAAATGTTTCCACATTAACCATTCATAATTTTTAAACAACTATTTTAGCTAAACGAACCTAACCCAAAATAGATTACATTTTTAGTACTGATTTGTTTGGTAAAAATTTTTTTTTTTGCCAGTTAGTGGTCACGTATAACAAAGAGTATATGATCTTTAATATTGGTCAGTGAGCCCAAAATACCAGACACAAATATATATTTTTAGAAAGTTTTTTTTTTTTATCATGTGTATTATAAACACTAATTTTGCAAAAGTTAGTGGCAATGATTTGTTTGCATTTTTCATGTGTATGTTGTAGTTTCTCTTCAATGTTGGAAGCCTAGTGTATACTACTACAGTAAAAGGAGGGAGGTTTGGAGTTTAGTTACATCTCATAAGTTTAGCATTACCCCAATGTAATACACTTCAGGGAATTAGGTCAATACCCAAACTAGTGACATTCCTATTAAACTTGTCAAGCTTGTAAGTTTAATTGTTGAGATGCTGGAACTGCCTCATTTTAAGAAATTATAGCATTTAAACAATGACAATCACCCCTACAAAAGCATATTATAAAAGCATATATATTTAAACATTTAGACAACCAGGGCAATGTCTCTTTAATATTTTTGTCAATCTATTTTCTTTATTGAAACATAAAGGGTCAGAGTGTTCAGTTCATGTTTTTGCATCAGACTCGTTTACAGAACATTTTTTCTAAAGCAGTTACAGTGGTAATTGAGGCTTTTGGGATCATTGGATCGTACTTCGCTAATAATGCTGTATTAGCCTGGTTATAAGCCTCACCCCCCGCCATCAGTAGTATCTTACTTTGGGCTCTTGGGTGGTGTGTAACCCGATTTAGTATGCGGTAGTGCCTTAATTTTAGGTGTGGTTTTTATGCGGTCCATGTCTAACAGGTGCAGGATTTGGGGTCCCTATCTTGTGGGAGCTTGCGCTGCCAGGGGATCTCTCCGTGTTGTTATGGCTTCTTCCAGAATCCAGTTCCTGATTCTGACTGAGGGCAGGCCCATTGTTCTCAGCATTCTTGGGATATCTTCTGGCCAGCGGGCCGTAAGCCAGGAGTTACCATGCTTCACTTGGAGGCTGAAGGGGAAGCCCCATCTGTATGGTTTCCGCTTGTCTCGTAGGGTCCCAGTCACTGGTCTCAGGGCTCTTCTAGTGTCTAGTGTGAGGTTGGACAAGTCCTGATACAGTGATACCTCAGCCTTGCGGAATCTGATAGCGGTCCGCTCCCTCTCGGCGGCCATTATTTTATCTTTCTGTCCGTATGAGGCAATGCAGCAGATCACATCTCTGGGGTTGCCATCCTGTCTCACTGGGCACAGTGCTCTGTGTGCCCTTTCTATGTGTTTCAGGGGCTTGATCACCTAGAAGCTGTTTAAATAAATCAATTAGTGTGGCCTGGAGCGGTTCTGTGCCTGCCTCTGGCAGGCCTCGGACCCGTATGTTGTTCCGCCTACTCCTCTTCTCCAAGTCCTCCACTTGCCTGCGTAGCGTGAGGAGCATGTTGTCCTGTCTGGTAACCGCCACCTCTGTCGCTCTGTGTTGCTCCTTGCAACCCTGTGCGGTTCTCTCCATTTCATCCACCTTTTGTTCAAGCGCTGTCAGATCGGAGCGCATGTCGGCAAGTTCTACAAGTAGGGCTGCGCAGATTTCCTGGACTAAGGAGCCAGTGTCTGCTTTGGTAAGCATTTTTGCTGATATGTGGGCAAGTTCAGCCCTAATCTGTGCCAACTCACTGACCTGGGCGTCCTCCATCTGGGGTTCACTCGCGCTCTCTGAGCTCGGAGAGATGGGCGCCATTTTGTTCTCATATTGCTATCTTCTAGTGTTAGGCGTCGTAGCAACAAAATCATCAATCGGTCCCGTGTGCCCCCTGGGCGAGTCTGCCTTTGCTGTCTCCGCAGCTAAATGCTTTTTATTCCGGACCATTTTCTCCCGTTTTTCTCGCTTATTTTGGCTATTTAGGCAGCCAGGGGTGCAGAGCTCTTTCACCGTGCGTCCAGCACCATGTTTGTCCAGGCCACGCCCCCCCGCCCCCGTCTCTTTAATATTTTAAGTCAATTGTAGTTTCCACTTTATTACACATTTCTGAGGAATTTAGTCATGGCAACATGTTTACTTCATTTTCACACGCGTTACATTTCAGAAACATCCAAACTGTATATTATTTCAAGGTTTTAACATCCTAAAAGGGCCAAACCCTGAGCATTATCGGAATTGCAGTTTATAATATCTATCATGATGAAACTTTGATACCATAGATTCATGTGATTAAGTATTTTTTGAATTATTCAGTAGTCTTGGTGGTGAGGGGGTTATTTACACTGAAAGTTAGGAAAAGATAAAGATTTTGGGGGGATATTTAATCTGGACATCAGGAGGCAAACATTCTCCTCTGCTAACTGAATCTTGCTTCAAATGGAGTACATGATGGCCTAAAGAACCTTAACAATCGTTTAAGAAAATAATATTGGCTGAAGTGTGTTGCTCATGGTTAGTCATCAGTCATGGCCGCCAGTGAGGCATGCAAACATTACATGTTACAATGCAGAATACAATAAAATGGAAACCAGTAAAAACAGGTTTAATTTGTGTGAAAAAAAATGCTCTCCGCAAGAAGGCTTAGTTTCCAAGGGTCATTTATCATAGCTGCCAAGTAAGGACAAGAGTAAGTTAAACAAAACAAATCTTTCCTGAACATAGTGGAACAATGGCACAAGGGAGGAAAACTTCAGTAACAGTTTGGCCGTTTTAATATTGGAACACTAGTTTTATTACCTACAGCCCATGCTTTCTTTAGTTCGTATTACACAGTTCTGGCATTTTTATACATAGAATATTTAAAACTTTTGTCTTTGAAAATAACAAGGCACTGTGCAAAAAGTTTGTTTAACATAATATATTATAATTCTAACTAATTCGTTTTTTAAAGGAACACTGTGGGCACCCAGACCACTTTATCTCATTGAAGTGGTCCGGGTGCAGTGTCCCTGTCTCCCTCAGGCCTGCAATGTAAAACATTGCAGTTTTAAAGAAAATGCAATATTTACATTGCAATGCTAAGCCTGACTTTAATGGCTGTCTACCAGGCAGCCATTAGAGGCTCTTCCCTTTTTTATGGAGTTTGGCCCTGTGAAACTAAGCTGGATGTCCTAATGCAAATCCAGCATCAAGCAAAACTCCATAGGAAAGCATTGAGTCGAGGCCAAACATGCGCAGTGCTTGCCTTACATGCACATTTGGTTATTCCAGTGGCTCCCCCATTGACCACGACTCAGTGCTGTATGACATCGACGCAGAAATCAGGTAAGTGTAAAAAGGTTTTTTTACCCTTTCCATGCATGGCGGGGACTCAGTGGAAGCTGCAGGGGCCATAGGGACCCTATAGTATCAGGAATACAGCTCTGTATTCCTAACAATCTTATTTTAAATATGTATGTTTTGTTTTCATTATTTTCTCATGTTTGTATTCACTCGTGTTTATGTTTGTTACACAGATAAACAGTACAGTATTTAAAGCCAGTTGAACAACCCATGCAAATAATCACGACATAATTGTGGTTGTGTTGCAACACAAACAATTCCATCACTGACCCAGAAGGAGCAGTGTAAACCATTAAGCAACCCAATGGAATGTAAAAAATTAATCAAGCAAGTGTACAAACCGTATCAGTCAGCAATCTTCATGACCCTTCACTCCCGTTCCCTACAGAGGCATTTTACTCATCAGTTATCCCAAAGAAGCAAGGAGTCTACGCTGGGAAAATCGTCAGGCTCCCAGCTGTCGGATGAGGGTGATGAGAGTTGATATTTAGCAACAGCTGAGGGGTTGCATCCTAGCTACCCATCAATATGCACCAGGCGTTTCCCCACCAGATGTACCAATAATGTGTGTTTTTTTCCAGTGCATGACATGAATGGATGTGCTTTCCAAAGTCCTTTAGAGAGTAAAAACTGGCATTAGTGGCTAATAAAGGCTAATTCTTTTGCAAGCAGCATTAGCTTGCCCCACTAGATTGTTATGACTTGAGGTGTCTGTCTATTGAACTGTACATCTGGCTCATTTGTTTTTTTCCAAAAGATCACACGCTGAGTGACAGCTGTAGTGGACTGGAAGAAGTAACTTTAATAAAGAAACACAGGAGGATTTAGGTTGGTGTTTGACTTTAGGACTGCAATGATCCAAAAGTTAAATGGGTGACACAAACACAGCTGCAGTACAAACATTGCATCTCGAGTCCCGTTTGTTCCTAAATTATTATTTGAGAATCAAAAACAATGAAACAAATGGGGGTGTTTTCTCCTTTCAGTTTAGAGAGCCCGCGTTGCACAGTGATGGACACTTTTATTTGTGATATAATGTGAAAGAAAAATGTTTTTACAAAAAAAAAAAAAAAAATCATATTCATAATAAAATCCTACACAATTTATCATCATTTAATTAAATTGCACCAAAACAAAATAAAGCTTGCTTTAAAACAGTATATTGTTTCAGACTCTAAAGGTGAAAAGGGTAAAACTTGTGTGTATTTTTGTATAATGTTATTATATATTATTAGATAGATAGATACATAGATTGCGAGATACATAGCAAGATAGATTTATAGATTATTTTTGAGTATATACTCGTAACTTTTTTTTATTGTTTTAAATGCATGTGAAACAATCTTTCATTATGTTGAATTTATAGATAGACAGACAAACAGGTCATGTTGTTTATGGGCAACAAAATAAATCAAATGAATACCAGATTTCAAAATAAATCCCTTCAGTATCTGCTTTTGGGCTTTATTGTATCATTACGCAGTGCGGGAATGTACTCAACAGCAGCTGTGCACAAAATACAATTAGTTACTATGCACAATCATGTTTTGAAGAAACAAAACACACATACGTCAAATTAATGACAATTTACAAAGTATGACTTGATTAGAACTACTTTAACCCACTGTATGTTATATTTTATAGTGTTTAAATAGCTCTTTTATCAATGTATTATATCTGGTAGTATATTCTGAGGACCAATTTTCACTCAGTTACCATAACTAGTTGTGTTGAGCTCACTGAAGAAATTCATTTTTGGTTTTTTTTAGGACAGGCTAGAGTTTAGAGCTGTTTCAGGAAAGCCTTATAGTCCATGGACTTCTCTCTTGGCCAGTCATTGTTACCTGGAGGGCAAGGCCGGACTGGGGAAACAAAGCAGCCCTGGGAAAAAAAATTATGCCAGCCCCATAAGTCACTGCGCCATATATTGTCACGTGTAATATGTAAGGCTATGTCTTGCCATGACAGATGATTGAGTAATATATATATATATATTTATTGCGTTTTCTAATATAAAATATTGGTCCTTTCAGGGTAAAACGTTTAATTATACAGTAAGCATACTCACATGCAGACACAGACAATCTCACTGACATCTCAATGACACACAAGCTCATTGATACACAGCCTCATAGACAAACAATCTCACTGATATACATCAGCTCATTGACATAAATACACAAGCTCACTCATTAGCAGGCACACAAATGCAAGCAAGCTCACTCACTAGCAGAAGCACACACACAGCTTAATGTAGTGGTACTGGTGTCTATAGCATGTCCCTACAGGCTTTTCAACGTAAATACTGACTTTTCAGAGAAAAGGCAGTGTTTACATTGCTTCAAAGTGACACTGCTAGTGACAGTCACTCAGACAGTCACTAGAGGTGCTTCCTGTGTCAGTGCACCTACATTCAGGGCCTCCACACTCTGTAGGTGCTGAACGTTCCCCATAGAGATACATTGATCCTATGGCAAAGCATTGGATTGGCTGAGATCATCAAGCTTGATGATCTCAGCCATAGAGGCAGGGCCAGTCGAGGGGAGACCAGCACGCTGCGTGGGGGGAAAAAGGTGAGCAAAAACACTGTTTTAAAACACACATATACACCATGACAGACACAGAAACACACATATACCATGACAGATACACACCCCATGACAGACACACACACACCATGACAGACCATGACACAGACAGACCATGACACAGACAGACCCACACACACCATGACACAGACAGACACACACACATATACCATGACACACACACCATGACACAGGCAGACACACACCCCATGATGGACAGACACACACCCCATGACAGACAGACAGACACACACACACCATGACAGACAGACACACACACACCATGACAGACAGACAGACACACACACACACCATGACAGACACACACACCATACAGACAGACACACACCATGACACAGACAGACAGACAGACAGACACACACACACCATACAGACAGACACCATGACACAGACACACACACACACCATAACAGACAGACAGACACACCATAACAGACAGACAAACTCACACTTACACACATTACTACTACCTGCCAGGGGGTCGTGCAGGGCAGACGGCTGTCTGTGCTGGCGGCTGCTGGGGCACCTGTGCTGGCGGCCGCTGGGGGACTTGTGCTGGTGGCCTCTGGGGAGCTGCGCTGGCTCTGCTCACCCGCCCTCGCGCTCTACTGAATGAGACGGGGCAGGAATATGACGTCATATTTCGAACCCGGTCTCATTAAGCTGCACGCTGGGGAGCAGAGACAGCGCAGCTCCCCCAACAGCCGCCGGCACAGGTCCCCCAGCAGCCGCCAGCAGACCTCCCGCAGCGGCCGCCAGCAGACACAGACACAGGTGCTGACGGCTCACCGGGAAATTTCCCGGTATCCCGCTGGGCCAGTCCGGCCCTGCTGGAGGGTAAGGTCTTTTTGCTCAGCAACAATTATTAAAGGAACACTGAAGTGATCTGGGTTCAGTGGTACATTTAACCATTTAATTTAAAACATTGCCATTTTGTAAAAATGGCAATAATTACATTAACAGGTCAAGCAAGCCTTGGCTTGTCTTCCTGAAAGCCACTTGAAGCGATTCCATCTTCATAACCAAGTAAACGTCAGTCCTGCAATCAAAAGCTGCTTATATGTATTTGGTTGGAGAAGTTCAGCATTTTGATGCACAAGTGTTCTCCAATCCAATACTTCTCTATGATTGGATGAGATAGTGGTTTATTTCTGCATGCTTGCAGTTGGAGTTGCAGCTGAAAAGTCCTGGCATTTGTAACAAGGTGAGTTATATTATTTAAATACACCCATACCGGAAGTAAGGCCCGGGATGGCCAAACACCAAACACGAAGAGGCACAAGACACCACAAACAGAGTAGAAAATAGAAAAAAAAAATTGGGGTGGAACAGCGCTACAGTACTAATCACAGGGGTGGATGGAGCTGTACACTTGAGGGGAAGGGCAACCCTCAAACCCTTCAACAAATCTGGGAGAACAGGAAACAGCAAATACACAGTGCACTAAGTAGAACAATGAGAGATAATATACACAGAAAGAAGGAAGTACAAAAAGTCTCTGAAAATGCAATGTGAACCTTAGATAGGTATTCTTTGGTTCTTGATTTGGGTCCTCAGTAGTTAATATGAAATACAAAAGCAGAAACAGGAAGGGACCAATAGTGCAAAACCGTTAGGAAATGGTGTCACGGACAACATAGAAATAGAGAAGTGCCAACTCACAATATACAGAGCTATGCCCAGCTCTAGGTAAAACAGCATACAGTGGTATTTGAAACTCCCCACATGTAGGATATAGCTGGACAAAATGCGGTGTTTCTTCAATACTTCTTGCAGCGTCTCAGATACACGTCAGCATATAAAATACATAAAAATAACGGAAAAACCCAATGGTGCAATAACGTATGTCACCTACAACTATAAACAAACACTGAGGTCCTAAGAGTGCCAACTTACAATTGAGAGAGCTATCACCAGCTCTGAGTAAAACAGCACACAGTGGTATTTAAACTCCCCACATGTAGGATATCCTTCTAGCGATGTTTGCAATGCAGGACTTATGAAAAAAAAAACACAAAAGAGGGCCCATAGTGTTCTCAGTAGATAAAATAGAAGTGAAAGGTAAAATGAAACGTAATTACAGTGTATAGAGCAGCCACACTACACTATGAACCAGGTGTGAGTGGAATAATCCCAACATAGCATTTCTTTAGTAGTACTGGATCTTTAGAATAATAAAAAATCAGCCAGGGTAAAAGAGCAACAAATAAAAGTAAGAGGACTAACCACGGGCAGATAGGTAGTCTAAAAATACTTTTATTTTAACAAAATCATAAAAAACACAACGTGTTTAACCAAAAATAGGCTTTTTCAAATAGGCTTGAAAAAGCCTGTTTTTGGCGAAACGCGTTGTGTTTTTTATGATTTTGTTAAAATAAATACAGGTTAGTATTAAGTAGCTATTGAAGGCCTTCATTTGATATCTTTAGACTTTTGGGACTATATTTTATATTTTGAACTTTAAAAAATAAATCAAAATATTAAAATATAAAAAGTATATAATATTAAAAAAAATCAATATTAAAAAAATTGAAATATTTTTCAAAATATTAAATCCTTTAAACTTTAAATTAATTTTTATCCTAAAATATAAAATAGAAGTCATAATACCCCACATGAACTCGATAAGATGTTCTAGTGTAATTCACATAAAAATAAGATAACTTCTTAGAAGCGAAATTAGTAGGCTACTTTGTTGAGGATATATGTTGCCTGTAGAGCCCTATATGAAGACTTAGATGCCAGCCCTATGTTGTGACTCATTAAAGGACAATTGTCTATACATTTTCAGTCTTCATTTTATAAAAGTTTATTACATTTAATTAAACTTAATTATATACTTTTTAAATTAAGTATATTGTTTTTTGAGAAAATATCACTTTTTTATATGACTGAGCACCTATGTTGGATCAGACTGTATTACTTTTAAGAAAACTTAATGATATATTTTTTATAAACTTTTAAAAGATGAGAATTAAAAATTTGATGACAGTTGTCCTTTAAGACATTTTCTTGCAAGAAACAAAAATGCAGGTTTTAAAAAAAAAAAACTGGATTATAAAACGCTTAAAGCGGTAGTTCATTTGATAATAAAAAGTAATCATAATTAGCATGTATTGACCATCAATCAAATGTGACACTGTATAGTTACATAGGAAATTAAAAACATTATTTTCTGGCAGCAATATTTTCATTATTACTTATTTTTCCTCCAACTGAAAAAAACAACACATCTCAAATATGACCTAGTCGGCAAACAAATAAGAATGTGTGTAAATTCATTTAAATGCCAAACATAATGATTCTTACGAAGCAATTATTATTTCTCAGAATGAAATCTCCTACAGTCACATTGGAATGAAAATTACGAAAGTCCCTTTGAAAATGTACTATGGCACACAAATATTTTTGGCTTGTTGGTAAAAGTCAAAAACTGCCCGAGAGAAACAATATTACGTGACAAAAAAATGTCTGTGTGAAGTTACTAGATTAGGCAACAAATGAAAAATACAAATAATAACTCACTTCAGAAATGGTTGACGCCATCCATCACATTATATTTGTATGAAATGAACAGCTAATTCAAGAAACTCAACATTATTTTATTTTATGTCTAACATTTTAAAGGCTCACTTTGTTCTACCTTTGTCATTGTATACTCAAAACCTACACAGTTCTGGGCTAGCAAAGGAACAGCACAAATCCTGCAAGACGCCTCACTCTGCCAACAGATACCTCAACTCACCCCCTGCTGCTTTCAGAAGAAAGATGCTGTGAGATTGGAGGCTACAGTGGCCCATGGAACAATCGCCCCCCACCATCTTACCAGCCCTCTCTCACTTTTTAAGGACTTATGGTTCAATATAGAGACATTTTTCCATAAGCTATGCTGTCCATGTCTTAATGAGACCTGTATTGAGGAGTGTTGGATTTAACCATTATGTATGTTGTTGCACGCACTGAGGCACAGTGTCTTTTTTGTTTAATGGAACACTCCAAGCACACTATAGTGGTTATGGTGTCAGGAGCGCCCTGATGCCCATTTGCTAATGGTTTTACACCTTAAGCGAGGTCCCAGACCTCAGAGCCCTTCGGCTTATGAAATCCAAAGCTCCTGTTAGGTCACTTCCATGAACTGTCAGTTACTCTCTCTCACCTAATGACCTATGCCCTGCACTGCTCAGTCAAAGAGCCTTTGTCTGACAGAGAGCTAGAAACTGGCACCAGCAGACCCAGGTAGGAAGTCAAAATATTAGCAAATAGTTTGACTACTTGCAACGTGGGGTGCCAGTGCATTTCTTACACCATAAGCACTACTGTGGGTTGTAGTGGTTATAGTTCTTGGAGTGTTCCTTTAAATTAGTATAAAAAGAAGAACGCTCTCTAGTGCTTGATGTGATCACACGTCCTTTTTAGCTCATAACAGGCAACTTTTCAGTTGTAAAGTTCCTAAAGCTCATCGTTAATGTTAGTTTTATTCAGATAAAAGCCTAGGAAATCTGAAGATGCCGTGACCTGGCCTGGATTCTGGATTTATTACATTCATAACACAAAAGTGTTCTTTGGAGATCATTGGATTGATTGGATGAAAATATTTTGATACAACAGAAAACACATTGCAGTTTTAACCTATATATCATTTTCCATCAGTGTTCGTCTTAAGGGAGTCTAGATTTTGACCACAAAAGTACATAACCTTCTAAAACTCTACTTGTCGTTACTTCAATGTAAATGAAAAATGACAGGATTACTGAATAGGGATGAAGTTCAGCATAAAAAAACTAATTATAATAATCATCATATTATTACGTATACATACGTATAGCTACACAGAATTTAATTTACATATTTTTTTTTTAGGTACTGCAGGATCCTAACCTCACCCTTATATTTTGCAATATTTAATCTCAGTTTGTTACTTAGTTACTTGTGAAATTGATAAAGTAACAGACACATTACTGTGACTGTATTATATCTTGAGCTGTTTTTCCACTGTATGTCAAACTATAGATTTGTTTGGATAATAAAGAAAGTGACTTCTCAGAATGAGCAGTGGATCGAATTTCTTTGATGGATTGTTACACCCTTTTTTTCTTTACAAGCTTACTCAGGATGTTGCATATTCTCACAATGAATTTACGTAATAAATTATACACTTTGTTTGCCATGTTTTATTGAATCAATGGACAATGTACATAAGTTTTCTTCAGTAGTGAAGATCAACCTTAAAGGACAACTATAGGCACCCAGACCACTTCAGCTTAATGAAGTGGTCTGGGTGCCAGGTCCATCTAGGATTAACCCTTTCTGCTGTAAACATAGCAGTTTTAGAGAAACTGCTATGTTTTCATATGGGTTAATCCAGCCTCTAGTGGCTGTCTCATTGACAGCTGCTAGAGGCGCTTCCGCGCTTCTCACTGTGATTTTCACAGTGAGAAGACACCAGCGTCCATAGGAAAGCATTGCACTTTCAGCCGATGACGGTGAAAAGGAGGAGGAGAGTTCACCGCGTCGAGGGAGCCCGGCAGGGGAAAACAGGTAAGATTTAACCCCCTTCACCCCTTAGAGCATGGCAGGAGGGGGCCCTGAGGGTGGGGGGGGACCTAGAGACCCTATAGTGCCAGGAAAATGAGTATGTTTTCCTGGCACTATAGTGGTCCAATAAGCAATTAAAATGCTCAGTATATTGTAGTACCATCCATGGGCTTCATCCATTTAGAATATATTAAAGGAACACTATAGTGTTAGGATAACAAAATGTAGTGTCCCTCTGACCCCCCTCCATCACAGCTGCGCCGGTGGTGAATAACAGTTAAATATCCCTTTCACTTACCGGAATCCAGTCTCTTTGTTCCTCTGCGCTTAGTCGGGCTCCTCCTCAACCAAGGTATTCCCCATGCATTAGGCCTACACCATAGGAAGACAATCAATCAATGGTTTCCTATGGGAATTTAGAAGACGCTGGGTGTCCTCATGCAAAGCGTTAGGCCTTCCAGCATCATTTCACAGAGACAAACTCCATAAAAGACCAGGAAACACTTTTAGTGGCTGTCTGGTAGACATCCACTAGAGGCAGGCTTAACATTGCATTTTCCCTGACTAATACCACTTCTATGAGATGAAGTGGTCTAGGTGCCTAAAGGTTCCCTTTAATATAGACTAGAGTTTTTATTCTCCAGTAGGTCAGAGCAGACCCCGACTGGTGTTGTTTTAATCTTAAAACACACAGAGTTAAAAAAGTTACCATGGCAGGTTTATAATTTCAAAAGTCAAAAACTATGATGACTTGAGCAGTAATCTCAGATCACCTGAAGTACAAGTCTTTAGAAGGATTGAGGGTTATAGGTCAAAAGGAAACCAATTCTGTGCTAATACCTTAAAATAAAGCTGTATTTACTTTAAATTGCTCAAGTATGTATCACTTATCAATGTGTTGGTGTAAAATGCCTAATTTACTGTGTAGATGCTATATCTACACAGTAATCTTTATTTACAATCAATCAAGTTGGACTTTTCAGTGTTATGTACTAAAGTGTTTGAAAGCTGGGAATACAACGAGAGTTACAATTCTAGGGCCAAAGTCAAAAAACACATAACTGTCTTGGAAAATGCTATAACATTGACTGAAAATTATTAATTAATTTTGAATTCCAGTATTCACTGGTTGCTGAAGTTTCAGTCCCTGAGATACAACTCATAGTTTTTGACAGTGAGCATCTGGACCTTCTGACTATCAATATATCAGTTTGTCTTGAGTTGAGGGCAATATCAGTTTTTGCCAAACTCGATAGGCTACTTTTTGGCCAAAAGTTCTACCTTAGTCTCAGATAACCATGTAAAATATTTTGCAACATTGTTGGCAGAGCAATATCTTACAATGTGCCATGCTTTTACATACTTCTTTCTTGACTCCCTTCCATTTTAATCTGTGTTTGCTTAATTTGTCATATAGCTTATGGATGTACCATTATTTTTTTCCTAGCCACTGAATTATTATATTATTATTATTGACATATAGAGTACCTTCTCATTCCGCAGCATTTTTGCAATATTATAAATGGGGAAATTTAACAGTAAATGAGACAATTACAAAATGTTACAGGAACAATAGGTTGATGAGGACCCTGCTCGAAAGAGCTTTCAAACTAGAGGTAAATGTTCTAATTGTGGTGTCTTTCACAATTCCAACTTTTGTGGGTTTGTAACAGAACTATGCTGTATGCCTGGGCCAGTGAACTAACCAAAAGCAGCAGGAATTCGTCACATTTAGTGCATTGCAACCATTCGAATGGATTCGCATGAATTCCCTGTGTAAAGTATAGGTGGCCGCCATTTCGGGACTTTACACGTGGCCGCGGCCATCTTACGTGCGAACAGCGGTGTTTGCCTGTCGACGCGTGGAACTAAAATCGGATACGCAAACAGGCGAACACCGCTGAGTCCTCCATACTTCCAGAAGTTCGCACGGAAACTACCGAATCACCGGACGTTCGGTAGTTATGTTCAATCATCTATGGGGATTGCGGCGAACCCCGAGATTCGAATGGATGGCAAGACTTTCATACCTTTTTACCAGGCGAACGGAGACCGACCGCAAGGCCAAAACTCATGGAACTATTTTCGGCTAGTTGGTCTGTGCGGTCGGTCAAACCTTTGGAACTCTGTATCTCCCGAACCATTCATCCGAATGGGCTGATTTTTGGACATGTTGGTCCCCTGAATGAGAGCTATCAAGCGACTCAGGATTTAAAGCTGTACCCCTTGTTTTTGGGGAACATCCAGAACTGGGGTAAAATGTTGTACGTTTTAATTATGTTATATGTTATCTGAGGGGAGGAGACGTGGGGGTGTTACCAGGTATATGATTGGGTGTTTTTATCCTCCCCCTGGGAGTATCCTGTGTGTACCTGATCCCAATAAAAAGCAGGCTGGGTGTTCCAGTCCTCAGATCTTCTTGACCCTTCAAAACGTAGCCTTGTCTCGTTCTTGGAAGGGGATTATTTGGGAATGTTATTCTGCTCCTGTTACAGCTGAACCTGACTCTTACTCTGGATATCGTGGATGGGATTATACCAGCTTACTTCTCCACAGCAGCTTAAAGGGGAAAAAGGACGTCTCCAACGGCAGATACCCTCACTCTACCCGGGTAGCCGTTACAGGGTTCATTGAGTTTTCAGTGATGACTGATTCTTTTCAGACCCAAGAAACATCAACAACAGTGCTCATTGGGATATCCAAAGATTTCAATATTTTATGAATCCTTTTCCTAAATTAAACATTTCAGATCTACAGCCTAATGATGTTTCAATAGCTGGAACTATGGTATGGGGTTATCAATGTTAAGATACGTAAGTGTACTTCTCATGTGGGAGATTTCCTCCTCTTTGTTGACTGACAAGGTTATCCACTAAAGTGTACATTATTGTGAATTTAAATATATTGCAGATGAGCATTTCAGTCTGTTATCTGTAATTCAGTTACAATAGAGACTTCTTTAGGGGTCTGAATAAGTATGTAAAGTTGAAGTTAAAATGGTTTTATGACAGTATCCCTTTAAATGTATAAGTAATTCTAAAATGATTATGCCCACGGTTGTGCCAGAGGCAAATACATCATAGCACTGTGTATATTTTGTATTTTTCCTACTCATACACGTACATGTTTAATATTTCATACACTTAACAAGACCTTTAAGGGCTGTATATAGCCAGTAGACTGAGTAAAAGCAATATCCTGTCTGAAAACACTAGGGCCTCATTTCTTTTTAAGATTGGGAGTTTTGTATAAATAATTTTCAATTTGTCTGGCAAAATGTATTTAACACATCATTATTTTTAAAATGTGCCAATGTCTATTCAAAGTACATTGGGTTGTTTTAAGTGCATCTTTGTTATCCTTATTAATAAGAAGTATTTCTTAAAAAATATCCATTACTAGAATAGAATAGAGTTAGTCTCTAAACTGAGAATTATAGAGAATTAACAAAAGAATTGCCAATTTTAGACTAAAAGTTATGGTTCGATTATCATTATTTGCTATTTTCGCTTATCTTTTTCAAACGTGTTTTAATTTCTCTACAATTCCTGATTTAATGAATAACCCTAATTGCCATCAAGCTGACAGAATCAACAGTGCAGGCATCCCCAAATGTACATGCACAATATCATAAAATATATTATTATTATTATTATTATTATTATGGCATGTGTCATGAATTAACAATGTGTGCATTCATGTATTTGGCCTTGCTCAATTTATTTGTTTTTAATTTTGCTTTTTGCATGATTTTCATTGGGAGTTGAGAAGTTCTAATTATTGGAGACGTTCTAATTAAAACAGATTAAATAACACAAAAAAATCATAAGCATATCTTTTTGAAAGAAAATACACCACACATGGCAGATATTACGTTTCTGTAACAAAAGATCCTGATTAATATCAGATATGGCAATTATACCTGTTTATATTTTTTCGAGCAGGATGTTTAACCTGTATATATATTTATACCTTATGAAGAATTAAAATAGGCTACTAGATGTATTGGTATTATTTTACAGAATTATTTTGACAATTCTGTCATTTGTCACTGATATATGTTTGGGGTTTTGTCTTATGTTGTAATGTCATTCAAATGCCTTTCACTAGACCGTATACTGGGGGAATTTAAATTTGCCACATCTTCCTTTAGGTAGGAAGGTGACAAGGAACTTTGACAACTAGCCTCTTAACAAACCCATATTTACCATGAGCATTTCTTTTATAAATGAGGCAAATCATTGATGATGTATTAAGATGCTCACATACTGTCACTATTTGTTTATGACACTTTTACTACAGGTTTCAGTGGAAGCTCTATTGCATGTTGTGTAATTTGTTTTCGTAAAGTAACTGACTGTGGAAGCTTTATTCGTCATTGTATCATGTATAGAGTAAAATAATTTATTTATCTTGGGAAAACAAAACCAGATGATACATTTATTGATTTATACATTACTTGCAAAGTGCTAGAGATAACATTAATAGCTCAAATGGTAATCAATATCTGATTTTGGTATAAAACATTATTACATTTCAAAGCATTCAATCGAAATTGTAAGACTTGTCCACAAAAAGGAAAATAAAAAACGATTGAACCCGTGTCTCTGTCTCTGTCTCTTTCTGTATCTGTCACTTTTTCTCTCTATAAATAAATATATGTAATAGACTTGTACTTTCAGCTGAATTGCAGTTTGTCCACTTTTAGGCTGATTGGCCAAATTCCATATCATATTTTTGTCTAGTGATCAAGGTCTGCTAGCTTTTTTAGGATCATCTTTTGTATAACTGTTGTTTTGCCACCCTGGGGCAGAGATTCAGGTTGGTAGCCCACTGCAAGTATGGGTGTGGGAATAGGAATTTCTTGCACCTTGTGGTTCATGTATGACGATTTGTATAGGCCAGTTGTGACATTAGCTTCCTGTTACCAATGTTAAAATGTTGTGTAACCTCCTGTGTTTTGGTGTTAGGGTCTATTACTCATCCAATAGTAGCAGTCAAACAGGTCTAGGTTTTCACTTTGTGCCCAGGAATAGTTTGTTCCAGTCGCCCACTATTGTCAGATTGCCCTGGTTCCACTGCAGATTGCCAAGCAGATTGCCCTGGTTCCCAGTTGTTGCACTTGTTGTGAGATTGCCCTGGTTCCCTTGCAGATTGCCAAGCAGATTGCCCTGGTTTCCCATTTGTTCCACTTGTTGTCAGATTTCCCTGGTTCCCTCACATCTGATGCGGATCTTGTTAATCTGGCAACACCAGAGCCAGCATGACTCTCTTGGTTCGTGTTACTCTCATATTATTGAGGTGGGCAGCGTATATATTGTTAGGTTTCATGCCCAGGGAAACTTACTGGTGAGGTCTGACTGGGATTCGAACCTGGGGTTTCCAGTTCTCTCTCTCTCTCTCTCTCTCTCTCTCTCTCTCTCTCTCTCTCTATATATATATATATATATATATATATATATATATATATATATATATATATATAAAACATAACAAATAAAACAAATAATATATATATTATTGTTTTTTATTGTGTTTGGAAATGTTATTTGTTTTAGCCCATTTTCCTTCCCATTTTGGGTTGTCCGAATTGTTTTCCCAAGTATTCTCCAGTGACGATATTCTCAGGAGCGGAGCTGTCAACTGAACAAGTGTCTGTGGCCCCTAACTAAATTTAATTTTTGGAAAAAAAAAGTTTGTCCAAACCAAATTTTGCACAGTCTACAAAACTTGTATGTATGGACATGAAGGCAGTAAAGATAGTAGTAGTCCCACTTGTGATAAGCGCACTTGGTTATGTAACCCCAAAGTTACGTGAGTGGTTTCACCAGTATTCAGGTGGGATATCTGAGATCGCTGTGAATCTGTCTATACAACCAACATTTAGTGTCTGTCTCCTAACCATCAGTCAGTTATTTTGGCACCGTGGATGGGTTTCCGAATCACAAAATAAACAAGGCAGCTCATCCATTGCCTGTTTTGTGATTTATCCATATGTCGATTTGGAGTTAGAGATTTTGTACAAAACATTGATCATCCAAAATTTGAACAAATCACCATTTGTTTGAAACTGAATGCACAAGTTTACTAGTAAATCAACTTCTATATCTTTACAAACCCACAAGTTCTTTTTTTAATTATATTTTTAGGCAAGATAGGCTGCATGCAATTTTGCTTTACTGTGTTGGTAAAGCAAAATGACGTTTAACCTAGTGAAGACAACGATATAAAGGAATTGATTTACCCGTGGGTATTTAAGTGTTAACAAAAGCACCAAATGATTAAATTCTAATGTCTAAGCTGACTACAGTTCCAGAATGGTTTATGCAATTTGTCGGTATCGTACTAAGTGTTCGTTAAAGTGACTTGGCAAAAGCAAGTACGGATTTTGTATCTTCAGTCAACATATGCAAGAAGTGTAGTGTTTATCTTTACAATCAGACAGGTTTCTCTTCTGTTGCAATCTATGGAAGTGTGATTCCCAAATGTCTAGTGCTGCCAGGGACAATTACAGTCTCAGCAAGTTTCAGAAATTGATGCATCAGGAATGGGGGGTTTTTGCTCAGATGACCCATGGGGAAAGGGCAACCCTGAAAGGAGGGATTATAAACTGTACAAAACAGCTTAGATTAAATCAGTGGAGTGTTGAAATTCAGGCTTATATCTATGCTTATATTTTGCCTTCACAATCAAACTATTGCTAAACAGAACAGTATAATTCAAAGCCATTAGAAAGTAGCCAAGGCAGGCAGAAAAAAATACAGCCAGGTTAACAATTCCCAGAAATAAAGACGTGGGTTGTATGATTGCCAGTGCATACATGATATGATTCATTAAAACCAAAACCCAGACAAATGATCAAACTCTGCATTTAATGTTTTGTTTATTGCTATTTAGTAATATAACTAAAATATACTATAGATTTACCCAGTTTTTCTGCCTATATTTATTTCTTTTTTTACAAATTTTTGAGATTATAAGACATCCCACATTTTTAAATGCACCTGACTGTTTCTGAAATATTAGCATACATTGGTTTTTTTGTCACATATCGTAGAAATTTAGGATAAATATCAGTAAATATGTAAATATATTTCTTGAGAATATATAATTTCGGTAATGCACATTCCCAAAAATGCCACTAGAATGTCTATAAGTAGGCATTATGCCCTCATTAAGTAAGTGCAAATGACTGGATAACATTAGGCATCTGTACTATACAGGACATTGCCGATTGTTTACTGATAATACGCCTAAAGTATGCCGAGAGCTCACTCTCAGGGAAGACAGACAGACATGCAGTCACAATAAAAAAGGAATTGAAACACAGTCACACAAATCAAACCAAAGGTACATGAAAAAGCTTAACAAAATACAGAGGAGCTTCTGTGTTGGCATCTAAAATATGTTTAGAATCTACCCACAATAGGTTCTGTAGTAGCTGGGATTGTCTCCTGCTTTCCCACTATAGTAAAAGAGTTAGATTCCAGACATCACTACATTTGCCCTCCAGTGAGATTACTGTAACGTAAATACGTTGATGTCCTAGTATAGGCACACAATGTTTTGGGAAGTGCCGGTAAATATTTGGTTAATAACTCCTTAAAGGGGAATTGCTATAGAATGCCCCTGTTTCTGTCCCATAGTTACGTTTCATTTTACGATGGTTTGACCCAATCCGAGGTTCCCACAGACGTCCACAACCAGGTCCCTCGTTATCTGTACTGTGAATGTGCGTTACACATCTGCATTAGTATATTTTCACAGCATTCATTGGCTAAACACTTCAACTTCCCACTCAGCCAATAACCAATTTCCAAATTTAGATTAAATAGTTATTGTTTATACAAAAGTGCATTAGCCATATGTACAGTCAGCAGCAAGGCCTCGGGTGAGGCACTTGGTTTGGGCTCCTTAAAGTGCTCCTTTTAGCTATGCAATGTTCATTTTTTCCTTTATGATAAATTATAAAAGTAGAATAATTTGTCTATGAAAATACCCCACAACTTGTAAATAAAATTAATGTGTTGCTAGATAAAGCAGAAAGGCAATTGATTAGAGATCAATAAATATTCATTAACCATTAGTGGATGTTGTTATGTTACACCCCACTCACCGTCTCCCCTTCTATGACAATATCAGTCGTTTCAAGCATCAAACCTCGTTATATTGATGAGTATTCTTTCAGACCTGAGGAAGAGCGTATAACTTTAGGAAGTAATATTTTGAATATTATGATAGCCCAATAAAAAGATATCTTTGCACACACTGCAATACTCTGTTGTTGTTTTCTGGCATCAAGCGTACTGGTCCAATGGACTAATATGGCTAATCCAATCTCTATACCTATGGAAAGAGAACTCATTTAGTTACAATTTAAAGTAGAAGTTTTACCTGCAAAATAAAAGAAAAACGAAAGATCTGTTACTGGTTATCCTCTGCCTGCTGTGTGTAGTCTCTTTGTGATTATCTGCTAAATGCCTTAAGGCACGAGATATAATTGATGATGCAAGCAGGGGCATTACAGAGACTGGGTGTAACGTGAGAGAAGCAGTGGCCTCTATAGAGAAGTCAATGGATGAACCTCAAATAGTAGTGGGAGAAAAAGCAGAAACATAAAAAATGAAAATGTCAGTTGTTACATACAGTGCTTTAAAATAGCAGTTTCCCCCTGGGCTGTTTACTGAAGATTTAGTAGCAGTATAGCTCATGGCAAGGTTACAATGATGTTGTCTTTTCACCTTAAAGATTGAGTACATTGTCACGCCTTTAGCACTTAGAAAACAATACGTGACTTATTAGAACATCAGTGTGTCATGTCTAATACATAGCTACCATCACTCAGTGCCAAATAACTTTCTGATGTTTCATTGATGTAGAAGTGGCAATACATGCCTCTAGCTCCCCAACATTCTATATTACTGAGGTTTGCATATGGTGGGAATGGTCTTAACCTCGTAGAACATTAGTGGACATTTATCGGAGTGTTGCAGACAATTTTGAACCTCTTTTGGATTGTTTAGGCACTGAACGAATTTTTTTGTCTTTTGCTTCTTTTCTGCCCTCTCTGTTATTTTTGAATGTATGCATTTTTTTCTTGGCAACTCAACAGATTTTTCAAACTTTTCGCTTGTTTTGGTAGTTCAGTAATTGATACTTCTGCAAGAAATAATTGTGGAATTTAGGTGGAGAAAAGCCAACACTATTTACACCAAATATTGGGGCAATTAACTAAATGCAAACAGATCAGAGATTTCAGAACATTTTAATAAATCTCTACCATTATGGCTTAATACAGCAAGCATGACGTGCGTAGTTGAGATGTGTTGAATGATGGAGAAATCATCCCGCAGACTGACATATGGATTGGAATGATGATGGATGGGAGCTGAGAAAGTAAACTAAAAGCAAGGTGATACCTGGAGGTGGAGTTACTTATGGTCAACAATGATTCCTTAACAATTGAGCGAGCTGATCCTTCTTAGAAAATTTAGCCCATCGACAAATGATTGCACTAGTAATAAAGTTCATGATAATGTCATGTTCACATCATCTTTTGATGGAGATCCAAAACCATGTCAGTTTATTTGTAAATGGGCTAAGCAGACCAAGAGCGCTATCTCTTTATACAGATGATAAGAATGAAGAATTAACACTACATACTCTGTTATAAACTATTGTAAAGCAACTGCAAAGGCAGCAACAAGATCTTTGCACTTGGCAAGAAGTCGTGTGGAATGCCTAGAATTTTGAGATGTGTATATATATATATATATATATATATATATATATATAAATGTATATATATATATATATATATATATATATATATATATATATATACACTGATCATCCACAACATTAAAACCACTGATAGGTGATGACGTGAATAACATTGATTATATCAATACAATGGCATCTGTCAAGTGAAAAGATCTGATTTTGACTAGGGCCAAATAGTGATGGCTACAAGATTGGAGCAGGACATCTCCAAAATGGCAAGTCTTGTGTTCTTGGCATACAGTGGTTAGTAACTACCAAAAGTGGTGCAAGGAAGGATAACCAGTGAACCGGTGTCAGGGTTGTGGGTCCTCAAGGCTGAAGTATAGCCCATGTGGTCCAATCACATAGAATATCTACTATAGCTCAAATTGCTGAAATAATGAATGCTGGTCATGATAGAATGGTGTCAGAACACACAGGTCATCGCAGTTTGCTGAGTATGGGGCTGTGTACCCACAGACCGGTCAGAGTGTCCACGATGACCCCTGTCCACCGCAGAAGGTGCCTTCAATAGGAAAAGGACTACCAGAACTAAATCATGGAGCAATGGAAAAAGGTTGCCTAGTCTGAATCACGTATTCTTTTAGGTGAGGAGAAGAAGTGGGTGCATGTGCGGTTTTTACCTGGGAAAGAATGACAGCAGGATGGACTATTGGAAGAAAGCAGGCCAGTGGAGGCAGTGTTATGATATGGGCAATCAGCACAATCATTGTATGCATATATATGTATATGAAAATGTATCCATTGGTTGTATATATGTTTTCATGCATATTCTGTATTCTTGGATGTGAGTATGTAGATTCTTTTTTTAACTCTCCCCAGTACCTTTCTAGTACAATTTATAGTACAAACATTTGCACTGTTGTTTGTTTGTTTTTCTCTCTCTCTCTCTCTATTTCTCTCCCTTTACTCTGTAAGAATGGTGTGTATTATCCACTAAACCTGTGCCTTATCTGCACTTACATTCACTTTAACCCCAGTATCACAACTCAACTATATATATATTTTTTTGTTTTGTTTTTTAAAATACATGGCACAGCTATATATCAGGCTTGCTAATAATTTTACCCTCCACTACACTACCAGCTTTCTGCATTCAAATACCTTCAATCAATTTCTCAGAGTGGCTCTGATGAAGGTTTGAAGACAGTTTGTGACTCTTTACAACATGGGTCTTCCTATTTGAACAATAAAGATATTTGTTAGTTGCCCAATTAAGATATTGCTAACTGTCAAATGTGAAAAAACCTAGGCAAGTAAAAATAATGAGCAGTCAGCTACAACTACATCTAATCGATTAGAGCACCTATAGTTATCTATAGATTTAGGCAATTGGTTTACTGATTTACTGATTTATTAGAATGTAATATTAGAGCTAAAAGGGCCATATAAGCTTCTGTACATGTTAACAAAGGGGAGGATTATGTTTTTTTATACAGTCACTGCTTGGATGCAGTTATATAACTAGACTTGGAGATTTGTTTTTGAGCCACTTAGAGATTTGTTTTTGAGCCAGATTTGGGTCGATCAGGTGATCTTTCAAATTCCCGAATTCCCGAACTCCCGAACTCCCGAACATCTGAACCCATCTGAAAGAAAAACAAGGTATAATAAAGGAAACAAATCCAGAGTCGGAGATGGACAAAAAACTGATGAAAACCAGCAATTGAAGCATGACAAAAAAATGCGTGTTCCCCATGGGGAGATGAATACCCGTCCTCGGGAATCGTAAAGGACTCACACCCCTATGAACCGCACATCTAGCTCGAAGGGAGATACTAAGCAGAGCGAGGCCCGCCGAAAACAGTCATACGCGCTACCTAATCTAAATGATACGACAGTCCCTGGTCAATAAAGTGACCAAACAATTCTCAAACCCTTTAACAGTGTTTGCCAAATTTCTGGTAATCCGTACTAGACCCAACTACATCAGGGTCGCCATGCAGACAAACGTCTTACAGTCCCAGAGATCAAATGGGACAGGTCCAGGGAATCCAGGATACTAGTTTTGACTCGGCCAAAGCGGAGGCCATAAAACCAAAGTACCAGCAGACCGAGACACCTGTAGTAGACCGTACAGCGAAACGTCCTCGTGGAAAAACAAGAAGGATAGTTCTGGTATTCCTGAATGTCCTAAATTCCCCCAAACCTGCCACCCAGGCTGTATTATCTTCCAAAGGAATGATGCCCCAGATATTTATTTCACCAGGGAGAAAATTGAGCCTGCCTTTACAGGAATAGACCCTGCAGTCCTTAGAATTTCCCTGAGGACTGCATCTAATTCAAAGTAACTAATGGACATACGTTCAAGCGTAGTCTTGTGCAGGGGCTCCAAAGGGCTCAGATCCCTTAATCCCAAGCACCTCCAGTGGTCCAAATTGATTTAGATAGGGTTGCCTGCAATCCCCAGATTCGAGGTCCCGTCTGGTATGTCATCCGAAGGTGGAGCCAAATGTGAAATTCCGGGGCCAAGGGTCCAATCCCCTATGACAGGTATGGGTTGGAGCTTTAGATATGTCTCTGTAACGTTTTTTCATATAAAACTGTACCCCTGATATACTTCCTTGTATGTCCCGCTAGCACAACTCACTCGTGTAGAGGAGAACAATCGGTTTGCCAGTGCGGATTTAAAAGTATAGTATAGGCACTGCAGCGGGCTGTACTCAGGATCTCCTGTATACTAGACAGGTGCTTTAACCAGGAGAGCCGCAGCGCCCCATCGGGGTCTAAGTCTGGGTACGAGGCTACCTTGTTCAGGAGCCCGGCTGGGTATACTGCTCCAAGTATCCTGCAGGCTTCTCAAGCCAGCGGTCTACTGCCCCAGAAACGCACCGATGGAGCTAGGTGCTCGGGCAGAGACCCTTCCAAAGAAACCTGGTGAGCAATGGGTCGAGGGTCGCACAGGGGTTTGTTTAAGGTGACCCATGAGATGACCTCTTCTTCCACAGTCGTCGGAGCCCCTGCAGTGGGCTTTCTTCTCCGTCCCATGGTGCCACTTGGGGACATCATCATAGTCCACACCGCCATCGTCCTCTCCTTATGAGGGGGATCGGTCCGCCCGGCATTCAGCTAGGGCAGCCGTGGTAGGGGGGGTGGGTTACGGGGACTTTCACCCCTGCGCCACATAGGCAGTGTAGTCTGGCCATCGTGGCCGATCGCATTGGGGCTAGACGTTTCTCCAGAGTCTAATCTTTCCGGGCGCCTGGTTCAGGGCCTTCACCCTTCCTGTAGCGCTTATGCACACTTGCCTGCCCTCATCATGAGAGTGTGACTCATTCAAGTCGCCTGCCTTCTTAAGAAGGTGGTCGCTGCTATATTAGACATCGCCTGGGCTCATTCCCCCGGATAAAGGGTTCTCCCGTGGAGCGGTCTTAGGCAAAGTGACCTCTAGAGGTATAACGGACAAATGTCACCGGCAGAAGCATCAGGGCAGCACCCATATAGTGACAGAGGCAAGTTTGCAATGCCCAAGCGTGGGTATGTAGCAGCAAGGCTTGGCATGCAGACATTCTGGCATAGACAATGCAGGTCAGATCAGTGGAGCACAGACAAAGCAGGCCAATTAATGGGGCACAGACAAAGCAGGCCAATCAATCAGGCTCGGACAAAGCCGGCCAAATCCTGGGGCACAGACAAGTCAGGCCCTTCAGCGATGCACAGACGATAAACAGCACATGCCATTCTTCTAATTAATTGTACATTTCACTCTTTGGATAAGATGTACCTAACACTTCTTTAGATTGATGGCACATAACACTCTTCTGGGTGTTACAGTATACCTAGGTATAAAAGGGTTTAATACCGCTGAGGATGTTCACCTTACGAATGGAGAGACAGCTAATGAACGCTCCAATCAGCCGAACGGGAACCATACGAAATCCTTCACGTATCAAACAGCCGAACAAATAAACCATACAAATCCAATACCCCTGAGTACGAGACCAAGCTCTGTATTGAGGGTTAAGCAGAGATCTGATTTAATGTGGGCTACCTGCCCGGTATTTATGCAGGTCTCCCACCTGGTGGACACTCCCTTAGAGGACCAGATGGAAGACTGGGACGATAAGAATACAGTAGCCAATCACAGTGGCTCAGACATAAACACTCCCCTTTAGTTGAAATGACCCTCCTCCCTATCCTGGAGATAATTGGGGAAGTAATAGAGGCAAATCGCCATTTTACATGTAACCGTAAAATACACAAAAATGTATAACAGGAAAAATACCGAATGCACTAGGTACAATTAACGAATCCCCAGATAGCTTAGATCTGAGCGCACATTATTACCGAATGGCGCTCAAATCACATACATACAGTTCAATTGCCATGGAGCCAAAGTCTTTCACATAGTCTTTCGGTATACGAATGGGCTCCATGGCATAGCTATCTGGGTTAAGTCCATTCGTGCAGGAAAAGTACCGAACAGGCCAGCGTTTGTATGCCGGATGACTGAGAAAGGAGGTCAGCGGCTTCAGTGGTGTTCGTGAGAAATAGTGTCCGTTTTTAGTTCCAGAGAATCGTTGACGAACACCACTGGGCATTCGTGCGCCCAAGATGGCCGCCTCCTCGTTGTCGGCATATGAACGACGACCACCCAGCTTCCCTTTGACCTTAAGAGGTGTCTGTGGTTAACCACAATGTTCGAATCTGGCCAAGAGGTTAACCAGCAGCACACTTCCGTGCTGGGTGGCCGGCCATTCGGCAGTTTATTCGGGAGTTAAGGAAATAAACGAACAGGGGGTACGGACAGGCAATTAACCCGAACAAACAGACAAAACCAAGGGGAATAGAAGTAGTTCACAGACAGATGGTTCTGTCACACTGGGTAACTGTAATTAACACTCTGTGTAACTGCACGTAACATTCTTCTGTGTAACTGTACACAACGCTCATCTGTGTAACTGTACACAACGCTCTTCTGTGTAACTGTACATAACGCTCTTCAGTGTAACTGTACATAACATTCTTCTGTGTAACTGTACCTAATGCTCTTCTGTGTAACCGTACATAACTCTCTTCTGTGTAACTGTACATAACATTCTTCTGTGTACCTGTACATAATGCTCTTCTGTGTAACTGTACATAACATTCTTCAGTGTAACTGTACATAGCATTCTTCTGTGTAGTTGTTCATAACCTTCTTCTGTGTAACTGTACACAAGAGTCTTCTGTGTAACTGTACATAGCATTCTTCTGTTTAACTGTACATAGCATACTGTGTAGGGGCCCTGCGGTGTGGGTAGGCCAAACGAGGTCGGGATCCGTCGCTTCCACATGGCCTGGTCATCCCTCCCACGCCACTCGCGGTCGCGAAAGCTAAACGGCTTCCCAGCGGTTCAGGGAGGGTGGGAGGGAGACAGGCAGATCCCGGGCGCCATGAGAGCAGCGCGCGAGATACCCATGTGGGACTGCAGGAGTAGTAGAACGGGAGGTGGTACTGAACCGCACCCCGCCGGCAGCTTGTGAAACAGAAAGAAAACAGAAAGAAAGTAGAATGACATGCAAGGGAGAGTAGGGAAAGCAGAGGGAGAAAGGTGGAGGAAGGCACCCTTACAGACCCCACAGAAAAGGGGAGGTAGACAGAGCAGGCAAGAAGAAGACACCTGCATAAGGCACAATACATGACCTCACATCATAAAATCAAATCCTAAAATCAAATCATAAAATCTAATCATAAAATCAAATCATAAAATGTAATCATAAGATCAATTCATAAAATCAAATCATAAAATCAAATCATAAAATCAAATAGAAGTAAAAAGTATATCCCACAACCACCCATATAAAACAGGAGGCAGTGGTACTCTGACCTGTACTGCGGAGCAGCAAAGAAAGAGGAAATAGTTGCTTGGGAGGAGCATTTTATGGATTCCTTACTTTTCTGCCTTTGGTGTTTTTCTCTCTATGTTAATGTGCTGCGGCGGAGTTCTAGTAAAGAGAGACTTAAGCAAATATGAAGCCTCCTGTCATGTTATAAAATTGAGAATGGTTTGACAACTTACGTGCAATCCTTGCTTAAAAATTCTCCTTACAGGTGTTGACTGAGAGAATCAGACCCAGTTCCTTGTCGACTTAAGAACAAAGGAAATTTTCGGTTTGTCATGATCAGTCTTCATTTAATTCATTGTGTTCAGCATTCAGCCATTCCTCTTTTGAAAAAAATATAGAATTGCCCAAAATTTGGATAAAAATGTATTCATCCAAAAACAAACATCTATTCTTGAAACATAAATGCCCCCTAACTATTTCAAAAAATGGGATGAAGCAACACATCGATAGGACACATTTGGGAGCAAGATAAAAAATTATACCGGTAAAGCAAGTGAGTGAGAGAATCCAGAAAGAGAGTAAAATAAATTGGGATATGTGTGGAACTAAAGGAAAGAAGAGATGCAAATTGAGTTAGAGTGTAATGGGAGGAAAGAGCAAAATTGGGGAAAGCATGAGAATGGAAAAGAGCAGTTTAAAGGGATATTGTAATGCCAGGAATACTAAGCTGAATTACTGGCACTACAGTTTCCCCTGCCTGCCCCCCTTCCTCGCATACCCCCTCCCCGGTAAATAAAGGGTTAGAAATCCTTTATGTACTTACCTTATGCCATCGCTGATGTTACTCAGCACTGGGTCGATGCTCCGCCCTCTCCTCCGTCCTGCGACGGATGCGGTGTAATTCCCGGTCTTATGCCCAAGTCTGAGGGTAGACTTAGAGCTGCAATGTAAACATTACCGTTTCTATGGAATTGCAATGTTTTACATTGCAACACTAAGTGCAAAAGGGACAGTGCACCCAGACCACTTCAATTGGCTGAAGTGGTCTGGGTACCTACAGTGTCCCTTTAACAATAGACGTGAGCTTTGAAGGCCAGGCAGTGGCACTCTACACTCAGCTTATACAGAAGATATATGTTTGGGATTTACTTATTCATATTGTGGAAGTATCACTATCTTTTAATTATCTTTGTTTATCATTTTAGGTTCTAATTCTGTACGGAAATTCTGTTTTTCAATGCCCCTACCTGGTTTCATGAAAAAAATCTGGTATCCAGTTTTGTCTGTCTCAATCGGAATTACACCTAGGTAACTACCATCTCCATGTCATTAAATGACTCAGGCTTTGATGTGAACCTCCAATCAAAGTGAACATTTCTTGTAAATGCATGATAATGTAGCAAAAAAGAGAAAAATAACATTGCACAGAACTGAGACTACAGCCACATAAATGTGCAGCTTTCATGTAAATGCAAAAACAAGCAGGAAATTCACAAGGCCTCATTTGGGGGGATGAGGTAGGGGTGTTGTGTTCTGCTCCTTTCTTTCTTTCTTTTTTTGCTGAGATATAATTATTATAATAAATATTCACTTTTTGTGAAATTCACCATTTTCATGGATTTGACTCCTTGGGCTATTTTTTTCCTTTTGAGGAAATTGGCTTGCTTTGAAGTTTCTTTCTCCTCAAGTCGAGAATCTGCTTTTTCCCAAAGGTGGGACCTGTTTTACACTGATATATTCGTCTGCTTAATATTCTTGTGCTTATGTGGATATTTCTTAGTTTTTCATTTTTTAAGGTGAGCCACCCATTTCTTAATTAACATATGTGACCAATACTGCAGTTTGAAATGAGCCTAAAGTGTGTGGGACTGTTTTGTGAGGGTACAGATTGTAAAACCTTCGACATGATCATTTTTGGACATCAATACTCATTTAAATACACAGTATGTTTGTCCACCTGTAAATGCTAATAAAAGTATTATTTATTTTAGTCAATTTGCCCTTCTATTCATTTAAATAGTCGACGAACACATGACTGTCTTCGTCAATCAAAACATTTAAAAAAAAATCCAAGATAGAACATTCATTGTTGTTGGGCCATGAGAAGTTTATTCACCAGGATGTAAACATTATGAACATTAAGTTGGGATTCCTTGTGTTCCACAACTTGTTTTCAGCTGTCCCATGAGCTAAAGGATGACAGTTGGATGTGTGTTAATTTAGAAGCTTTTGCCAGGGGTGTCATAATCTGAAGCTAAGTTACAGGCATGAACATGCAGTAGCCAGGAATGCTTACGTTAGCAAGGCTGTCATTGAGTTTACTTAACACTCATTTGTCTCAGTCTGCTTCAGAACAGAAATGCAAGCAATGAAAACTTATTTAACCCCCTGACTACGTTAACTGAAATGTGATAAAGATGCCAGTTAGCAGATCCTTGCTTTCCAAACAGCAGAAATATTTGGGTTGTCTCTTCTAATGACCTGGAAAGACGGCTCTTCTCAACAAGTCTTAGCTATTATAATGTCCCTCGTCTACTTTTCTTAAAACAAAAAAAAATAGACATCCACAAGTGACATGATAAAACATGCTCATTGTTATGACATTGATTTTTCTAGACCAAACATGCAGTGATATATAAAGGTAGGTTTAGATAAATGTATTTTTAGACATTTTCAGCCTCGACTTAATATTTTTGGATAAGCCCAAAGTTGTAATAATAAATAAAAGGGGAACTAGGTAAATGTCAGTTAATATATTTTTAGACATTATGGCTTCGATTTAATATTTTTGGATAAGCTGTTCAGATTATTTAATATTTTTGGATTTCTCAAAATAGTAAAAAAAAAAAACAAATATACCATACATGATATATACATAAATATATTAAAACATTTCAAAATATTACAATATTAAAATATATTTTTTTAATAATTTTAAAAGCGGATTCAAAAATATTAAATAATTATAAAAAGCGTAACCAAAATATTAAATCATTTGAAAAATGTATCCAAAAATATTATGTTGAGGCCTATGTAAGATGAACAAAGCAGGTTTCAACTTTAAGAACAGCAAAACAAACTAGAGCAGGAGAAAGGACAAAACAAGCCCTACGGAATGGTTTGAGATGACTCATGGAATTACAAAAGAAGCCTTTGCTTTAATATGTCAGATTGGTGTTGACGTTGAGGGTATTCCAGATTGAAATGCCAAGCAGTTCAATTTCTATCTGACAAACACTGAAGCCCCATTTATTATTTCAAGTTACTTTTCAGTATCTATTGCCCTGAAATACTTCTAAATTAGCTTACTAGTTTACTTTTTTTTTATTATTATCTTGAGAACTTCCTACCATGATCACATTTAGCCAAAGATAATTCCCAAACAATAACCTGTGATAGCAAGACTTCTTCACATGTGTGTGTGTGTGTCAGTAAGTGTGGACGCATGCAAGTGTATAATCCTAATAAAGGCCTTTTGTATTGTTGAAATGTTGATAACAGGTTTAGCCATATTGTGTGAATACATGATGCAGAATTTAACGTTCGCGGCACGTGATTGTGCATAATGATTAATTAGATAGATAGACTGGCACATTGTGAAATAAATTTAATTAATACAAAAAATAAACGTTTCTACCAAATCGGGTTTCAGCCATGTGACGTTTCAGTTTAGAGACATTTTGGCTATGCAATTGTTTCAGGAAAAACAATTTAGAGGGACAAAAAAGCTGCAATAATTGGCCAACAGTGTACTGAAAAATAGATACATAATACCAATATTATGTTTATATTTCGCAATACACTGATAGGAGTATTTTTGACCTATTTGGTTCACGGATCTAGTGAGAAGAAGTAACCAATAAAAGTAATAAAAAGAAGCAGTAAAACGTCTGCATTTATTTATTTACATGTTGTATATTTATTAAGAGAGGTAGAATAAGGTAATTTGCGCAAAAGTTCTATTTACCTGCCAATGAATATTCTAAGTAGTAGTAATAAGGAATTTTTACCTCCTCTGTAGAATAAACATGGGACAACACATATTGTAATCTTTATAAATTATAAAAGTATATAAAAAATTAAAACACTCAAACTTTTCAGAGCCTTTTGAAAGTTGCCTCTGAACTTATAAGGCATGTCATCTCCTCAAAGAGCTACAGTACAAATTTCCTAATCGTAGAAACTCCAGTACTGCTGAACACAGGAACTCCGGAGTCCAGAGAAGAATATGGGTAAATCGAAAAGTCTTCTTATCTCAAAGTTTTTTTATATCAAAATGTGTACAAAAAAATAAAATCTCTATCACAATGAATAGAATATATCTGTATATAAAAAATACAATAAATTGTATATTTATTGCCAAAAAGAAAACTAGCGTGTGTTGGTGAGTCTACACAACAAATAATGTGCTGTCTACTTATTTCGGCTAAACTGTACACTTACACACAAGCTGAAACCAGCTATTATTACAGAAAGCACATGCATTTGTGCAAAATGTTTTGCACAAATCACCACAATATGAGGATTCCCAATAGTATATGCAGTGAATTAAATGCACTACGTCATATGTATATTGCTGTCACTATAATTGCTTGACGGTTCAATACAGTGCAGTATGTAAGACATAAAAACCAAACATAGTTTAACACCATTTATTAAATTTATTACCATTTATGAATTAAAACCACTTACAGAATTGTTGGTGAGACCTCTTCTGGTTTTAGACCCACATATGCATTCGAATACAAGGCACCCTAGCTATCATAATAACAGCCATGATCTCCAGTCATTTTTACCAGCTTATTCCGATCTGCTCAGACCTCTGCACAGTCCAGCATCATAGGAGGACCAGTGATGCAATTACAAATGTGTTACACCACTCCCATGGGGCTATGTCAAAGGATATATTTTTATGGTAGTGGTTTTTGACTTCGTGTTGTAGGATTATCTAGTTATTAAATATATAAATATGTATATATATTTTTTTATCTGCTCCTCATTTTTCCTCTCTATTGGTCACTTCTCATTTCATTTGTGAAAAATAAAAAAATCCATATTTAATGAATGTTCCCTAATCATAAATAATCTGTTTGTCCCATCAATCTTTTTTTTGGCACTACAGGCGGAACTCTGAATCATTAAAAAAATGTCTAGTTCATTTCTTGTTTAGTTTGCTTTATAATTTGGAGCAAAAATTTAAAAATAAATTATTGATGGGAAAAAAGGTAATGGGTTTCAGTCACATGGTGATTCAGAGTTACGGAATTAGGATAACTCACTGATTGTCCCCTACTTTCGAAAAAGAATCACAATTCGTTTGAAAACAAACGCACAAGACTAATAGATAGAGAGACTATTTATATTGTGCAAAGCGCCATAGCATTTTAGGAAGACAAAAGGTTTCAGAATGTTTTCACTTCCTTCAATGGAGGAAAAAATTACAAAAGTTTGACTTTTTACCTTGTGCTCATCAATGTTGCTCCGTGCCTCCACTACTGCATATGGAGAGCTGTGGGCTCCTAAGAAGTGCATGGCAGGCTCTTTGGCTGAGAGTATGAGCCATTGGCTGAGAGCAATTGGCTCATACTCTCAGCCAAAGAGCCTGCCATGCACTTCTTAGGAGCCCACAGCTCTCCATATGCAGTAGCGGAGGCACGGAGCAACATTGATGAGCACAAGGTAAAAAGTCAAACTTTTCTAAAATAGCAAGCAGTAGTGGTTGTGGTGCTTTTAGTGTAAATTTAATGAGTAGTGGCAATCAATGCCGTCACGGCAATCTGTTCTTAAGGATCCTATTCCAAAATTTAATTCCCATCTCATTTAAGGCCAGCAGAGACGTATAGTGTTGCTCATGCTAAATAAACAGAACATTCCATACTGGACGAAGGTCTTCATGGACCAGATTGTGTTGAGGACAAAGAATGAAGGGTTAACAAAAGTCTAATAATTCAGAGAAGAGATAACTATTTCTATCCCAAAAGTAGTAGCCAATATATTAAAATAATGTATGACCCTTTTTTTTTTCTTTTTTTTTTTTTACAAAACCTAAATCCAGCTGCAATGTTCTCTACATATGAGGGCCTTCAAAGAAGATGTTCTCTGTATAAATTTCATGGTTATGTCACTGACCTCAAGAAGAGCATAAATCTTTCCAATGGAAACCGAAGTTCCACAAAACAAATAATTAAGCAGCTACAAAAGTAATTGTAAGGAAATGTTTCTGCCTTCTTATCAAAGATGTTTCAAAAAAGTTATTTATACATTTACCCACGGAACCACATACAAATGAAGAGGAGTAATAATACTTAGTGCCAAATATATATATTTTTTCATTCATATCCTTACTGGTTTTCAATTATTAAAACACAATCAAGATGGATAACTTTGCTATTTAGCTAAGTGAATACAGTAGCTCATGGTTTCGGAATGACGAGAAAGGTGTGAGTCCATGATAACAGATTACAACACAAGTTAGATTATGATTAAAACAATATAGAAGGATGAGGCTGCTTAAATGGGCATCAAAAATCTTGATTCATTCAGATAGGTGGTAATAATTGCAGTGATAAAGAAGAGACAATGGCACAATGCATGTATTTGTGGGTAGATTTGAAAAGACAAATCAAATTTTAGACAAATTAAAAGTGTAAAATACTTATGGGTCCAACAATGAGAGTTATCACACTTTGGATGTGTAAATATAGGCACATACAGCAAATGAACTAGCTAAGTAGTCTGTTAATTTTGGGGATAAAATGAACTAGAAGGTCACCAATCAAAATTGATTAAAACCTATAGTTCCTAAAGGCACAAAGAGAGATAACACAGAGTTCCTGAGGACATTGATATGAAAGGAATGTCAAACATGGTTACAAATTATTTAAAAAAAAAAAAAGAAATCAGGCAATGATAATAATCTGTGTACCATAATTATCTAGAAGTTGTAAAACTGCTGGCCATTCAAGAAAACTCAGAGTATTTCAGAGTGCAGAGATTTGATTAAGGAATCATATGTACGTAATTAAGGCTAAGAGATTGTATCTTCTATCGATGAGGTAGGTATATTATGTTTCTAGAAACAGCTATAGAGATTTTAGAGAACCATAAAGAGATGGCATTAGTCAACAAAGATTAGAAGGAATGTCAAAACAATACACAATCAGTTGATTAACAAATCGTGCAACGGATTGATATGGTTTGATAGGCACACTATCTGAAAACCAGATATTTTTTATATCGACCAGTGCTGTACCTGAAGACTGAAAATGACTGAATGAGGAATGTTTTGGGGAACACTAAATCTTGTGCTTTGCCTATATTTATGGCACAAATGGCTTATGTAAACGTGTCATGTATATTCATAGCCATAATACTGACTTCAGTTTTACATAAAGCAATTTAGTGAGATTATTGGAATAAGTGAATTAATATAAATGACAAAAAACAGCAAATCTAAACTCTGAGAGAAGGTCTGGTCACTTTGTGTTCACATTTCGTTCTGGTCACAGGCAGTGGTCAGGGAAGGCAGGATGTTCCATGACTTGCTAAAACATAATGTTCTCAGGACAAAAGGAAATTAACCCAAAATGCGTCACATGGAAATCCACAGCCCAATTTTATTTTTCCGTTCTATTAAATTTCAACAAGGATTATATTCAGTACTAACAACACTTTCCAGAACGGTCAAAGAATACTCTCAGAAAGGGTCACAGACACAGGTCAATGCATCCAGTACAAATGTAACCACACATGAGTCAATAATGCAAACATTGATTAAGAAATAAAAAAAATAATAAATATGTTGTTAAAAAATGCATCTTCCTCTTGTTTGGTGATACATTTTAATATTCTTTGAGAAGCACTGTCATCACTTTAAAGAACAGCACCATAGCCAAGTTTCATAACTTGCAAAGACCCCCGAAAGTAAAATGGGCGCTGGTTGTCCTATGGCTGGGTGAGAGTTACTTACTTGAACCTGTCAGCTAAAAGCTGAAAGAAGCAATGATTTAAAACAAATTATATTATATTCACTCATCCCTCATCACGAGGGATAAGAGGGGATGACCTATACTATGCCTGGATGTATCTGTGGGGGGAAAAAAATCCAGAAATGGCCTTGATAGCACGTATGGTATTTGAAAGTTCAAGAAAAAAAATCCTTCAAGTGTTTTACATTTCATTGTGCAACAGGTGTGCACAGGGAAGTAGTTGTAAAGAAAAATAATCACCCACGAACAAATAGCTGTGCACTTACAAACATCTATTATGTAGCAAACATATGTCCAGGTATAGTTATGATTCCACACACACATATAAACATATGATATACATAACACATGGCAGAGGTGGTGTGCCGTACAAACATGCCAAAGTCATGCCATATTCAGGCAACTGATTAGAGTTGGTGGCACATAACAAGAGCCAGTAAGGATGCAAATAGGTTCTATGCCAAGACTTGGTCTTCATAAGCAAATGGGACCTATACCTGTGCAATAAAAATGTTTCAAACAAAGAAATAAAGGGTTACTCACAGCCTGTAGTGGTTATATTGTGAGCAGTACCCAGGCCACTTTTTCTAGTAATTTTATTTTGCAATGGTTTGTCCTCTTACCTGGTCCTGCTTGGTGCCTATTCAGAGGCTCCTTTAAGGTTGGACATGACGTGCGTCTGACTTTTTCAGAGCTGCAGAGCTGAATACCAACCCTGCCGGCCATTCATTGGCTGAGAGTGTCAGCGTCTCAGCCAATGATTGCTAGTTTGTACAGAAACATTTACACAAAACTAACTATAGCTAGTCTGGAACTCTACTTCCAGGCTGGCTTACGACACCCCAGTGACTCTGCCAGAGGAGACGCTAGGCTTCCGATAGCAGAGGGGTTAATCTCCATATGTGCTGAGCTAAATGTTTCTCATGCAAACTCCAGACACCATGACCACTTCAAAACACTGAAGTGGTCATGGTGGTAGAAGTAACACTTTAAGACACATAGCTACCTACTGGATAAATTACATGAGATATTAGATGCACCAAATGTTTGACGACAAGAATGTCAGTACATCATTGTGACAAGCAAAAGTATTATAGTTTGGAAATATATGTAAAAAGTAACGTGACTGAGAAACATGAGAAAAGAATGTCCACATTTGCAAGTTCTCCTACTGCATAAATATTCCATGCTAATCACCTTGATTACATGTTAATTGGAGAATTAAAAAAAAGGAGTATTTAAAAAAAGTCAGGTTTTGGGCCTCAAGGACTAACTTTGATCTTCTTTTGGTTAATGGAAAAAATCTGCAAAAAGAAAAGCACATTATCGGTCAGTTTTTAGAAGTACGCTGTCTGTATAAACTGTGTAAAATTGGCCGAAGGTACAGAACTAAAACAAATTCATACCGCAATCAATATAATGTATATAAAATAAGAGATTTATAATACAAAAAAAGTCTTTCAATATAACACCGGCATTATATGTGAATAGCAAAACAGACTCTTTTTAGCAAAAACTAAACGCCAAAAGAAGCAGCGATTTAAAGCAAATTATATTGTCTTCACATTAAGTGCAACCATTAATGTATGCATGTATAGATTGGTAATGCTGTGCCTTTAATGCTTTGCTTTTTTGTCTCTCTTATGTTTCCCATCCGATGTAAGATAAATGTTCTGTGCTGTTGCTACAAAATCCCCTAGACATATAGACTTACTGCTTTGTTGTAAAGCTGTGACAGCTTGCTTTAGTTACAAATAGCATTGGGAATGTTTTGGCAGTGTTTGGGAACGGTGTGTCCTCTCTTTAGATCTGAATTTGAATCTAGAAAATTCAGGCTTGAGAAATGTATCACAAAATCGCTACATAAAATAGCTATTTGAAACATCATTAGCTAATTTACCTACGTACAAAGATCTTAAAGCTAATGCATCTGTTTGAAATTCAATATAATGATTATTAATCTATTACTCTTAGACTTGGAGAATCCTTCCAGAACGAATTTAAGCCAATAGAGTTTTCGGCACAATTCCAGAATTCCAAGCAGAAATATACCTGAATTACGGATCAAAACACTAGACACCAAAGATATTCGGGGGGACGTTCAATATTCTAAATTCAGTCAGTGAGTCTAAAGAAAGATGATTTATGGGGAAAAAATATTGTTTATGGTGAGGGGACTAGGAGGTAGTCACTAAATGTTGTTATAATAATAATTATAATAATAATGATTAGCAATTTTTATAGCGCTTTTCTCCCTGTGAGACTCAAAGCACTTTACAAATATACAAACATAAAGACATACAAGTTAGGAGTTTCTGAGGGTCCGATGAGCGGACTGAATGCCTGATGGAAGAGGTGGGTCTTTTTAAAAAAAAGTCTGTAAGGACGATGCCTCTCTGATTGCGCACAGTAAAGAGTTCCAGAAGGTAGGGGCAGCATGACTGAATGCCCTGGAACCTGAGTCTGTCTTTATTCTTGGCACTGACAGGAGGGATTTACTGGCTGACCGAAGTGAACGGCATGGAATATAGGGTGTCAGGGGCTCTTTCGAGTACTGTGGGCTGTGATTGTTTAAGGCTTTGAAGGTTAGCAGGCCAATTTTAAAATATGTTCACCATTTAATTGGA